CCACTATGCACCCAGTTGTCGAGAATTCCGGAAGCAATTTGGCACGCCTCCGGGTAATGACGCAATCTTCCCCAAATCCTTTTAATTGTCAAAACAGGATAACCACTTAACGCAAAGATGCACAACTCGGCACCTACTGCAGCTTGCAGCTGCTGGCGGTTGAGTCTCAAAGACTCCAGCCTAACAAGCCGACTCGCTACTATGCCACGCATTTCACCAAGGTCCACATGGGCGTCGCCCAGCCACGGCTTGATGCGAAACTTTTTTTGCAAACCCGCACCACCAGAAGCTCGCCATTCATGCTCAACACCATCAGCTCTCGTGAGAAGCTCACCATCGACAGTATCCAACCAAACATCCAGCCACTGCGTGCCAAAACCATCAGGTTGTGTGGGGTCAAAGGAAACAGGCTCAGCGTAAATGATCTTGGTGAAGGCATGCAGACAAGCCGAGCACAGAACACCTGAACCCATGGCAAGGGCGTCGACGTACCTAGTGCAAGCCACGGCGTCACACATTGAGTTTGCATTAGATGGCAAGTACGCTGCTGCTGCCATCTGTTCAAGTGCACGACAAGCTTTCAACTCCTCAAAGGCCAGAGCAGCTGAAGCAATGGCTTTAGACAGATGGCCTCCGATAGGGGCACCCCTCACCTGCTTGAACAGGTTCTGGCCCAAACGAATGATGGCCTGCCGCAATGCCAAATCAAGCACAACACTAATGTCGGACCATGTCCAAACCGTGCAAGAGCTTCTGTGTCGAAACTCGCTCATGGTTAGCCACGTATGGAGACGCTTAGACCTTGCAACAGCAATGCCTTTAGCCAAGGGTCTGAGCTTCTGCAACTCTGCAATCAGATATGCTACAGCATAGCGGATTTTGCTTGGGCATAGCTCCTCATACATCTGTGCTGCATCGCAAACGCAGATGGACAAGATAGGCTTGGGAGCAGAGCACCTTATGCAACACTTGCTTGCGCAGGTCAACTTTTCAACCGCACGACGAAAGTCCGCAACAGCCGTGAGCAAGCTTGCCGTTTCAAACCCCACCGACAACGCAGCAATGACTCCAAGAATGGCTCTGCCAGCACCTTTGTAAATGGCACGTGCAGGGTGAGCCCTCCAGGAGATAATTCTCCTGAAGCAAGAGTGCCCAGGTTTTTGGCATAGAGCTTGGCCTTGCCCCCCTCAGAAAAGTGCATGTTGGTTGGCCTGCTGCAATTCCTGTCTGGGTCTTCCGCCAAGTTATGCGTTGCATGAAAGCCCAAGCAGTGGCGCATGGAGATACGCATGCCGCATGGTTGGCTAGCCAGGTGCAGCCAGTCAAGAGTCGCAGGCGGACTTTTGCCGAGAGATGGCGGTTCATTCCGGTTGCTAAACATTTCGGTAGGTTTTTAGGGGGTTGTAGCCTTGATAAAGTAAAGCCTAATGCCGAAGACTGCAGGGCAATGCGTAGTGTGAAGCTGCACTGGCGTGTTCCGGTGTGGCAATCCGTGTCGGACACTCAAAACGAAGCCTGCAAAACGTTGAGTTGGCTTGCATCTAAAATGCATTGTGACTTGCCCTTTGGCTTGCTTGAAAGGCTGTTCAAATCAAACATGTGCCTGAGTGATGCATCCCCTCAGTACTTGGAGTATGTAAAAAAGCTGCCGCTGTGTTCTTCACATGAAGTGCTTGTCCAAGAAGACAAGGACAAAAACGCAGCATGGATCATGCCCCTTCCAGTGTACGAGAAGTGGTGTTTCTGGATGTTTCGCCAAGATACCATGCACTGGACACCTGTCGCCTCAGATGTCCCCTCTGTTTGTGAAGAGTACAGGCGGTTGCATCTTGAGGCCCTTCCTGTGCATTTGAAGCATTGGGCATCACCGAGGCGTTGGAGGGACTTTCAACTACCGTATGCTTACTGCACGTTGAAAGCGAAGTGTTTTGCTAATGATGGTTGCACGAAGCATGTCCTGCGGGTCGAGGCTCGTGTTTTGGCAGCACTCCGCGGCATGGAGCGAAGCTTGTTTGCCATGCGCACTGCACGTGAAGCAGACCTCACAACCCCTTCGTCTTTTAGTGCAACAAGGCGTTGATGCAAGCTATCCCAATCGACAACTTGCGAATCCGCAACGTATCGTGTGAACAAACCCGACATGTCCGAACAATCAAGGTCAATGGGACCGAATCCTAACCCTCGAACCACGCGGTATTGCAATGCCAAATCATAGCCGACGCGGTAGGCAACACGTGCGATGGCATCAAGCTGGCAACGCAAGGGTTGCAACTGAATCGAACGAAGATGCGCAGACTGCAACGTAAGCCCTGAGTGGTGCCAGGCGTTGAAGGAAATGGCATTCGAAACGAAACGCTTCTCCAAAGGAACACGGTGTTTAGGTCTAGGTCTACATCGGCCGTCGCGGGAAGCTTTGGAACAACGGGCTTTGCGCACAAGCTTGTTGCCGACAGACTTGCTGTTCCCTTCGAGACGCCAACAGGCGATGCCAGCTTGCTCAAGGCACCGTATGTGTGTTTCCGGCCCTTGCTCGAGGACCCAAAACATGTGATCGCAAATACGCACAGAACGGAAAAGTCGGCACTTGCGTTTCAAAGCTGTTTTTTGAGAGTTGTCAATGCCAGTAACGGTTTTGTGCTCCAAGATGTGTTGGTAGGCTCTAGACACTGGAGACGACCCTGAACAACCAAACCTTTTGACATCAAACGAAGTCGAACCCAAGTAATTGCAATGCGGCGAAGAAAGCTGGTATAGGACTGCATGGCCTTGTTGTTCACAAAGTGCAGCAAAAACTTGCATGCTAATGAACTGCGCGAAACCATTCCTAGTCCTGACAGTCCAGCCACGAGGATCAAGAAATTTATCAAACACCTGCGGCAGCAAACCTCTGCATCTCTTCACTGCCCGCTTGTGCTTCCGGTGGCCACCTCGCGATTGCCAGTCTGTGACGAGAATCAGTTTGAGACTACCGCAAGCAAGAAACATCAGGTCCGTAGTAAGGGAAGTGCTTCTTTTTGTTCGCAATGAGGGCGCGAAAATCCACGCACTCAAAGCCTGAAGAACAATGCTGAAGCTCTGAATGTGCTCCCATGTGGTAGCTTTAGACTCCACAAGACAAGCGATGCAAGCTGCAACACGGAGCAAGGTTTCTACAGCTTGCCGATCAGGCGTCCTGACTGCGATGCGAGGCTGCATCGTCTGTAAAGATTGCATCCAAGACACAACTCGGTCTTCAGAAATAACAAGGTGAGAACACCAAGCATGCAAGCAAGACTGCACTTGCGCAATCATGTCTCGTTGCGACAGATGAACAAAGTCGCATGGATTCAAGTTGCAAAGGAATGCTGGTGCAGCGAATGCGTGGGTAAGAAAGAACAGGCGCCACAAGCCTGCACTCAGCAGGGGCAGCAGGCTTGTCAGAAGTAAGCCTGAATGCTGGGAGGCGCAAAAGTTCATGGACAACACGCACACCTGCTTGGAACCATGATGGAGCCAAGCCAGCAATGCATTGACGAAGCTCGCGCCAGAGCGCGCGTGACAACGGCGGCAGCACATAACGACGAAAACGCTTCAGCATGCGATGCCTTAAGCAGCGAACTGGAGGTCGTTTCCGTCTGCGTCGCCTGTGCGGTCGACGCTCTGCAGTGGTACAGTTGGTAAGGTGAGGTGAGGTGCCGACAAGGCCAGGTTGCAACCCTAGCAGCCAAGCACCAAAGTTGCCACAGGACAGCAGCAAAACCCTGAGGCTGAACCAAGACAGCCAAAGGAACATATGGATGCGATCGCGTATGAACATTGTCACAGCGTTTCCCGTCGACTCGACCGTGTGGGAGTCCGTGCTCAAAACGCCGGAACCAAAAATCCGCTCAAGCTTTGTTGCCTGCCCTCGGGCCGTCCGCCATCAGGTTGCGCTGTGAGTGCGGCCTGGGCACAACCTGAAGCTCCCTGTCTTTCGGGAGCGACCCGGAAACCTAATTTGTTCGAGCATCAATGCAACAGGGTGCGTGTCTAGAACACGGCCACCGCACTACGTGACAAATCTGCGTACAGCAATCCAAGCTAGAGGAAGCAAAGACTGCCAAACCAGCTGCGAAACACTGGTCAAAGGGACTTCGTCCGAAGTAGCTCTTACTTGCAAGACGGTACTGGTACTGTTCACTGCAGCTCCGACGATTTGCATGACAGCGTCTTTCCCCGGCAGAGTGTCTACAATGAGCTGCTTTATCAAAGCTTCTGAATCACGTGTGATGACCCCTAGCGCCTGTGTCACCACATTCCGAAGGAAGCATTGGCAAACATGGCCCCAAATCGAAACCAGGATTGCCATAAGCAAGCTCACATGCAGAGACAGTCTGATGAGATACCAGAGCGCTGCAATGCCAGAGTTTAGGTTGTAGGGTTTGGGTTCAGGACTTTGAGGTTTCTAGGTTTAGGGCCGGAGCTTTGGCGCTGAGTGGGTAACCTTTGCCTGCGCTTGAACTTGAGAAAAACTTGCCATTTTTCAGAAGCTTTGGGTTTTAGTCTTTAAGAGATCGTGCTTTGGGATAATTTTCCCTCATTTCCTTATAAAGGGAACCTATTCATAAATAATTTTCAAAGGGCTTAAAGCACAACCCAGAGGTGTTATCTTTCCTAGACCCTAAGGATCCCTAAGGTCTGCACCGCTTTCTTCGGACAGCGACAGGTATGCTTAGGATCATCTCGTACGAAAATGAGGCTACCAAGCGTCCGCCGTGTCTACTTCCACAACCCCCTCAACTCCCACAAAATGCAAAGTGGTCTAATCATGCCTTGCACTTTTGTCCGTGAGTTTCGAGTAGCGAACCCTGAGCCGTTAGGATTAAGGGTGTAGGGGTTGGGGTTTAGGGTGTCCTGGCTCAAAAGTTAGTCCTTTTTGGAGATCGCTGTCGCGGCATCGCTATTTCGTGATCGCCATGTCATCAGGAGACGACTCCGAGACGAACTGGCCGAGCCCGACCGCTCCCACCAGGTCGAACGGCATGAAGCTTGCCGAAACGGGCGCCACCGACGCCGCGAGCGACATTTCTTTGAGGAGTGCGATGAGTTCTCTGGCGGTTTTCGTTCAGAACACCGATGCCAACATGCAAAGTTCGAATCCCGAGCTATCAGGGACAGATGACAGGAGCAGAAGGGGTTTCATCAGGTGGATTGGGCTACCCAATCAACCTATGAGATGTTGGAGAGTATCAGAATCAGGAACGGTTTGATGCGTGTTCAAGCCTTGTTATACACTTACACCCGAAAGCCTAAAAGCCCTAAACACCCTAGACGCCCTGCGCACCCTAAACCCCTTAAGCCGCAGAAAACATCCTCAACAGAAGCCCTCACCCCAAGGGTCCAAAGGACCCAATAATAAGGTACTTGGGTTTAGGGTAGTAGTTATGTAGGTTAGATGGGCGAGTATATGATTATGAGGTACATGGACCCATAAGGGTCAACCTTAGATGACCAGGTCTCGGATTCTGCCGATGAGGCCCAGGCTCGGGCAAAGTCGCAGCGGGGCAGCTCAAATATAAAAACCTAACAATTACCTATACCCTTTTGGGGGTTCCTCTAGAGCCTTTATGATTACCTAAGGGTTCCATTTATCGGGGTCTATATAAGGGTGACTGTAAGGTCTTTTTTATACAACAGGAGTTAATATAGGGGCCTTAGTAAATACCTATACTCTTTCGGGGCGTCCCTTATTGAATTTCATCATAGTATAATGGGCACCAAAACACGGTTCTAATTATTAAGGCCCCTATAGTACAGGGTTGTCCAACAACCAGGGATCAGGGAGGATATACTGTTGAGGCTCTTGGGGTTTAGGGGGTAGGACCTCAGGATTTCGGGCTTCAGGTTCATACGGTTTTAGGGCTTGCGTGGTGCAAATCCTAGACCCTTGCAGCCGTGCCCTAAACCTTGTCGTATGGTGGACCTGGCCTCAAGAAGAACTAGGGCGTTAGGAGTTTCAGGTTCAGGGTATAGGGGTCATTAGGGCTTCTAGGGATTGAGTAGAGGGTTCATCTTAGTAGCTGAGTAGATACACTTTACACTTTTTGGGATAATATTACCCTTCATAAAACTGAAATTGTACACTTTGTTGGGGCTTGTATAGGGATCTAGGAATTGTGTATAGGGCTCATATAGGGTTACAGATTAGCGTTTTAGTTCAGGGTTCGAGCTTACGGTCTCAAGCCTAATTGTTGAGCACGCCCTACACTCTATGGATCGACCCGAATACCCAGATGAGTTCCTGTGCACCGGCATAGTCCCGAATTTTAATTTCTCCAAACGCAAGTTACCTAAGCCAGCATCAGAATCCAGCCCCTGCGTGCTGCAAGCCGTAAACCCGACACCCTCAATGTAAGGCTTCAGGGTTTAGGGCCTGGCCTGGACATCCCTAAACCCTAAACCCTGAACTCCAAACTCTACACCCTAAACCCTGAACTCTAAACTCTCATCCCTTAACCCTCAACTCCAAACTCTAAGCCCTAAACTCTGAACAGGCACGCCCTAAACTTGTCTCTTTACAGCAGGTCTGGCACCTAAACATTTGCAGGTAATGAAGGTTTCGTTTTCGGTGTTAAGTCCAGGGTCTTGAGTGTTGCGGGTGAGTGTTTAATTTAAAACCTCTCTCTTCACAGCAGGTCTTGCACCAGCTCTGCCCGCAGAAGGTCACCGGGTCTCTGGAACTCTTCAAGGAGGCTCTCTGTCGTGGCTTTAAAAGGGGGAGTATACAGGGTTTAGGATTTAGTGTTTAACTAGGATGCCCAGTAGTACCCTTATTCCCTTTTTGTAGTCCTAGGTTCCTTATAAAGTTACCCAATACCAAAAAGAGAGGCCTTTTTATCCTAGGTAAGGTTTAGGGTTTACGGTAAATAACGGGCTTACATTGGTTTCAGACGAGGCTTTGTAACATTGTGCTTCCAAGGACCTTATAGTATTTTGCCCTAGACCCCTTAATCAATCTTAAGGATCCAATAATAAGGTCCGCCGAAAGCCTAGGGTAAGGGGAGTGTAGAGGGCTTTATGAAGGGTTTCAAATTGGTTGCAGAAAGGTTTTCAAAAGGGTTCTTGATGAGTGCGTTTATAAGGGCTTTATAATGAGGATTATACGGGTTTCACAAGGGTGTTAATACAAGGTTTGATAAGGATTCGTTTCCCTGCTTGGGGTCTCGGGGGTGAGGCTTCAGAGTATGGTTTTCCGGCGATTAGGAACTGGCGATATTGGAGGTTATACGGAGACGTAGCGTTCTCTTTTCGGGCTTCGGGCTCCTTTAAAGGGACTGTCAACTAAAACTCAGCTCGCAGCATGTCAAAGGTTTACCCATTTTTATAAGATTTATTACCCAGCTTTATAAGATTTTCAGGATTTTCCGAAACTCTGCAAGCCAACACACCCGAAGCATCTAAGCACACTAGAGAGGCGCACACGCCTGGGTTGGGGTTTAGGCTCGACCCTCATGCCAAAGCCATCGATCCAATCTGACATGTCTTTAGATCGGGTGAGGCTTTGGCAAAGAACAAGCAGGACCAGCAACTTGGCTGCACCAGCAATCTCTTGGGTTTAGAGCTGGGGGGTCTAGAATGAAGCAGTGCATCGGGATTTTGGTTTTAGACCTGCTAGGGGTAAGAGGCCCCTTTCTGAGAGCAACTTAGCTTCCCGTGAGACGTTCAGATTCAGAAAGTACATGATCGAAACCTGCTTATGGAAACTAGTCTTCGGGCTTACCTAGACCCTGAAGAACTTACCCGTTTAAAAACCTATACAAGGAAGTTCTGAACCCTAAACCCTACAAAGGTAAGTTTTGGGTGGTGAACGTACTTAAGCTTTCACGCAGGAAGTTCGAGCTTCGGGCTTCGAGGCCCCAAAATGCTAAGCCCGAGCCTGAAGCAAAAATTCAGGGAATTGAGCAACTTGTTTTGTTCTTAACGCAGTGTGGTCTTTGGCCTGACACAGAACGATGTCTGGGGAGGAGCGTTTGATGAACGATTAAGGGATTGCGGAATCATTGAGAGTGTTGGGCTTTTGGGTAGAGGTTTCGGAATTTGGGGGTTAGGCTGTCGAGGGGTCTACGTACCAATCCCTGGCCCTCCCCAAATCTGTTCTTGAAGGGTGCTGCTGGCTTTTGAGCATTAGGGTTTAGGATAAATACACGGTGTCGGGGTTCAGTGAATTGGTGGGCCCACTTTAAACTTTAAACTGCCATAGCCTGCTTTTTCGTGAGTTTAACTCTAGCCGCCCCATCCAAGCTCGTGAACCCCAGGACCATCAAATCTACGCCCTAAGCCCTAGATAATAAGCCCCGAAGCACACAGAACCCCGATACCGAAAAAGCCTAAAGCGTTTATCCTAAACAAGCCCTAGACCAACCAACCTAAGGTTCAGGGTTAAAGGTTTGGTGTTTAGGGTTCGTGGTTCAGGGTTTAGGTTTTACCAATCTCCTAAACCCTAAGCCCATAGCCTACAGGAGGCTTCGTATTTTTCCGTTCTGCTCGTGCCAAGGATGACTGGAGATCGGGCCAAGATGTTGCTGGATGCTAGTATTGAGGCTCTGGGTTGGGTTTGGGGGCTTGGGCAAAAGGATTCCTGCAATAATCCCTGCAACGGTCCTTTACGGGTTCCTTTAAGGGGACCCTATTATAGAACCCTACACTACCCTTCAAGGAGACCCTATTCCAGAACCCTACAGTCCTCGACCCTATAAACCCCCAACCCTTAGCCCAACTAGTACCCTTTAAGGGTTTGACTGTTCTAGACCCCTACAGTACCCTTAAAGGGAAGGGACCCTAGTATAGTACCCTTAAAGGAACCCTTATGGGCTTAGGAGTAATTAGTACCCTGTAAGTGTTGAATATATTTGCTTATATTGGAGCAGAATGCTCTGCTGTAGGACGGGAGCAGGATGCAGAGCCCTGCACCTGGTTAAACTCCCGCCGGTACTGTAGGGGCCTTATTTTTTACCTGTACTATTTTTGCGGGTTCCTTGCTATAGTTACTGATATACCCAAAACCCTATTCTAATTGTAGTACGAAGGGTATCTTTGTTGTTACGAGGCTACTGAGAAACCTAATCCTTGTGAGCGATACTAGACCCATGATATACCATAGTCCCTTGGGGTGTGTTTCTGTGAGAGTTGCTTATTGAAAATTTGCTTATCTGACAGAAACTGGCAAAGAGATACGGCTTAAGCTTGATAGTTATGACTTTGTCGGGCCTCTAGCATAGTCCATCATCCTACCCAGACTCTGAATTGCCCAACCCCACACCCCAAAGCCTGCGTGCCCAAGTAGAGTTCAGCCAGCGGCTAAGCACTATATTCCTGAACCCTGCCTACGTGCGTCCATGCATGTGTGTGCTTGCTATTCGTTGGGTCTGTCGATGTGGGAGTTGGGGTTTATGGTTTAGGGTTTAGGGGTTTAGGGTTCAGGTCACTGTAGATAATGAGAGAAGTCGTGGCTCGTCGACAAGATTTGGCATGAGGGGGCAGTTCTGATTCGGGATCATCCTGCTGAGGATCCGCAATTGATCACTGCAAGATGGTAAGAAGCCACTTTCGAACTCCATGCGCTTCAAGCCAAAAGCTCTAAACCCTACCCAAGGGGCCTTAATAATTACCAATACTTTTTTGGGGTTCCTTATTATAAATTTAGTCTAAGGGGCTCCAAAACCCCATTCTAATTATTAAGGCCCCTACATTACACTCCTTTAGGCGAGACTCCACCTCATAGCCCAAGTCCTAAATAATAGTAGAAGCCATAAAGTTGGAACATTATAATCCTCCTTCCTTTCAGATAAAATCATAGAGTAGTCATCCTAAACCCATGTTTCAACTTTCTGGGGTTTGCTGTAATCTAACATCCAAAACCCTAAGCCCTACCCCGAAACCTCGAAACCCCCAAACCCTTAAACCGACCCCTAAACCGCGGCAGCAGGTAGTGATCCATCTCCTCGCAGAGTTCTCGAAGAACGACTCGGTGCGCCCGTCTTGTCCCGCGAAGCCCAAGCCCGAAGTAGCCGACCCAAGAACCCCGAGAGCCCAATACCCCTTAATTAAGGAATATAGCTTAGATAACAATATGAAGCCTCTAATGATTTAAGGTATACTCCTTAATTAACGGGTGGCTTACTAAGGAACACCAAAACAGTAGGTTTTTTGGGGTCCAGGCAAACCCTATAAACCCAGGCCGCGCCTTGCTTGGAGGTAAATGCTTTTGTTGCAGATGCCCCTGCGGGTTCTGGCCGTGGCGGCGGTGTCATACAGTAGCGGAAGGTCACCTGGAGGGTATGGCTGACCATAACTTCAGCATCTGACGGGACCCTCGGATGATGAAGCCTCAAACCCTGCCCTCCAGATTTTGCAGTTTCCAGTCTCGAGGTTCGAGGGCGACGAAAGCCTCACGCCCCAAACATCCCTGGCCTGTTGGGTTTCAAAGTTCAGGGTAGAGGGTCGCGGGTAGCAGGTGCTCATCGCCATGCAGTACGAGTACGGCACCAGCCTCTTCCCTACTCGGTCGGAAGATCAGGAGATCTTCTGGAAGGCCACATCTTGGCACTGTTGGACGCGTTTGTTCGGGGAATTTTGGGTGTTGCAAGCTAAAGTAGTAGTAGTTTGGGCGGCAGGGGTTTAGGGTGCAGCGTTTTAATGTGTATTCGGGCAATGTGGATTTGGCGAGTTTAGGATTTGAGAGTTTAGGTTTAGGTCTGCCAATCAAAGGGCTTTTGAGTTCTGTGAGTACAAGCAAAGATACATAAATCGTGGCGTTTGGGGTTCCGGGCTTACAGCACATGGGTCCGGGGGTTTGGGGCTTTCTACTTGAAGGCTCATGGGACTTAGTAAGTAAGGTTATAAGTAGGTTATAATATTTATCATTAGGATAACCCCACTTAGGGGACTTATAGTCCCACTTATAACCTATTTACTAAGTCCCATGATCCTTTAAGTACTAAACCCCAGACCCTAAACCATTCGAAGCGCTGTGATGGGACAAGCCCGAGCTGCAAAGTTACTAGAATGCCGTTTCAAAGAACCCTGAACACCCAGCCCTAAGACAGATCCCTAGACCCCATGCAAACCCTAAGTCGTTTAGGATTAGGAGTTTAGAATTTGAGGTTTGGGCTTTGAGCCTCTCAGCCCCAGCTCAAAACCTGATTTCGGCCGAAGGTTCGCGTTCTCTTGGAGGTTTTCTCTGGCTGGATCAAATCATATAGCTTAGGATTCGGGGTTTAGTTTTGGGGTTTACGACTTAGGGTTTGGGGTCTGAGTCTAGGGTTACAGTGCAAAAGAGAACGTCCGCCAGTTTCTTCAAATTAGAAGCGGAGCTTGTACCCCATCGCTGGCACTGGCCGAGCGGGGTTGAGTACCTAGTACATAGGTCCGTGGCCCGGGCGAGCCCAGAGCATCGACCCGTTGCTTGCGCAGTTTTCCTCTGTCTCATTGATTCCCTAAGGGTCCATGTAGTCATATAGTATATACATGGGCCTTAAAGTACTCACTATATAGGTACATTGGGCCCAAAGTATATACTAATTGGGTACATGGACCCTTAGGGATTATCTTTGTTGACAACGACTGTGGCGGACAACTTAATTATTTCTGTTATTGCTATTATTACTGTTAATACTATTAATAATATTATTCTTACTAGGATTACTCTGATTACTATGATTACTATTAGTACTATTATTACTGACCGGCATCGGAGAGGATCTTGACCCTTCACAGAAATGAGCAGCCCCCCTTCAAGCACCACTTATCGCGGCCAACCCCAGCTAAGGGTCCATGTACCTTTAAAGCGGTTCCTCTAAAAAGGGCCGCTTTCGGGGTTCTTGAAGGGTTCTATCAGGATTTGTTATCTTTGTTATGGAGGATTGGGATCCTTGTACGTGATACCTACCTTCAGGACCACATGAGCCTTGAAAGAAGGGGACCCTTACCAGATCCCGATAATAACATGGCCTTTGAACGTTGAACCTCAAACCCTTTTAAGGTTCCTTTCGAGTTTAGTTACTTTAGGTGTAACAGGCTGTCACAGGGATTATTCTTTACGAACTCCAAGACCAAGGCATACACGCAGTACGGACACATGTGCCTTTGACTTTGAGTACTTGGACGCCTTTGGAAGATGAGTCGACAAGGGTCATAACCCTAAGGGCCCAAAGGACCCGGTAATTAGGTACTCGGGTTGTGGATAATAGTAATAGTTGTTGTAGGTTGCTATTCAGGAGAGTATGTGATAATTAGGTACTTGGAGCCTTTGGGGTAAGGCATTGCCGTACAATCCAGAATGTCTGCGTGAACGAATCCTGGTCCAGTTTGGGGTGCAGCGTATGGTTGGTGACGACCCTGCAGCAGCTGCTAGAATACTTTTGCCCTGCACCATTGTAAAGCTTGCTGCCTATAGGCCCTGACTATGCAGGTCTAGACGACTCGCCCTATGCGGTACGCCTTAAAGCCCAAAGCCTCGAAAGCCAAAACTCTAAGACACCCTAAATTAAAACCCCTGTAGACGCTCAAACGTCATCAACTCAGAAGCCTTAACGACCTTGAAACTTGAAACCCCAAGAAAGAAACCTGGATCTCTAAACCACTTAATCCCCTGAAAGACTTCAGACGCACATTCTGCAACAAGAACATTAACCCCGAAAGACCAGCACGCGCCAAAACAACAAAACAGCCTAGCACGCCCGCCACCTTCTACTAAACCCTATAGGTCTTTCTCTGGAGGCTTAGGCGGACGGGGATAACGGCATTGAGAAAGCATTGATCAACCCAAACATTATTCCGAAGCCCTATCAGACCGCCACCACATTCTACAACAAGTTCATCAAGACCCAGGGCAAGGACAAAGCCAGAGCTCGATCCCTTGTGGGCTTTGGGGTTCGGTTCCTTCAACGGTCGAGGGTGTACGAGTTCATGTAAAGAGTTCCTTTAAGGGTCTCGGGTGCGGGGTTCCTCCGGGGGTTTGCGGTTTAGGGTTCCTTTGAGGGTTCCTCTATAGGTTTCCTCGATTCCTCCATCGATTCAGGGCTTACTGAACTGTGTTGAGGGTTTAGGGTACTGTCAGGGAAACTTTGCCAGCGTATTTAGGTGTTTTAGGATGTCTTAGGGCTTTAGGGTTTTCGAGTTGGAGGGTTTACTGCGGGGGTTTGACACAAAAGCCTAACCCCTGGCACCGAAACCCTAAAGTACAAAGCCTAAGCCCGGTTTTGGGGTTTAGGTGAGGGTCTACTTGGAGGGACAGGGGACTTAGTAAGTAGGTTATAGGTAGAGTTATAAGTACCCCAAATGGAGTTACCCCAATTATAACCCTACTTACAACCCTACTTACTAGGTCCCCTGCCCCTCCAAGTAAACCCTAAACCCTAAACCCCATAGATCCCTTTAAGGAACCCTATAGATCCCTTTAAGGAGCCCTTTAAGACTTACTAGAAGGGTTCGGGGGCTGCTGGAGCCCTTAGGTCGTTCTACGGAGTTCCCAAGAGGCCCTGTGAGGGTTCTGTCAGGCTTAGTCGTAGAGCAGGCAACCTTTGATTTTTTTCTTGGGTAGTATAGTCCCAGTAGAATCCTACATAACAACCAAAATGGTTAACCTTTAGTTCCCATGATACCCGACAAGTAGGAAGGTTATGGGGTTGAGGGCTGTTGGCCTCGGGGTTTGTGGGTTTAGGGGGGTCAATGTAGACGTAGGTGTTTAGGATTTCGGTTTTGGAATGGGCATTTCGAAGATCAGGAATACACGGAAGCTGACCTTGACGCATACGCCGAAAACTTTTATCAGACAGCACCCATCACACTTGATGAGCTGCTCTGTACCAAGCGACTCTACAAGGTCATCTGGGGTTCAACCTTCTGCAACCTGATGAAACCCTATACAACCCCGTAGAACCCCATAACCCTGAACCAAGCCCACTGAATCCTCAGCCTAAAACTTCCTGTATAAGCCCTATGGCCTATGGAAAACCCGAAAAGCCGAAAGAACCCCACATGTCGTATTATATTTGATTATTCGGTGACGGTGCCTCACTGAGGTCGGTGCCGCCGGCATTTCGGAGGGCTTTAAACCCAAAGCCCACTAAACCGGCAGATGAGCTTCTAGGGATTGCTCGTCTCAGGTCATGTTGCTGATCTGCCGCGAAGCGCGCAAAGAGCATCCGGTTGCCAGGAACCCAACCAGCTAAAGGGTTTCTTTCAGGCTTAAGGGTTCCTCGTCCTCTACGGTCCCTTTCAGGATTCCTCGAAGGCTTACTACCGAGGATTCCTTTAACGGGTCCTTCAAGGGCTCCACCAAGGGTTACTACTGGGGGTTCCTTTCAGGGGTCCTTGCAGGGTGTGAAGTACGTTGTAATGGTTGTATGCAGGTGTCCCAATGATCTGTAATAATGTCCCCTTGAAGTGGCTTTTTCATTGCACTAGAGCGTGCCCAAAATCCGCAAGTGTGCGGTGTTACATGTCGTGCCTGCCACCGCGACCTCGCTTCGAGAAGCGAGGGCGCATAAAGAGCCTTAAGGAGAAGCACAAGCAAGCCGAGCGGTTCCTGAAGAGGCAAGAGGTGCGCTGGAAGCTTAGGAGAGAGTTTCCTCGCGGAACGGTCGGTGAGGCATTTCTGGGTCTCGAGGAAGACTGCCACTCGTGCTACGGGAGGAGGATCTCTTCGGCTGTGACCGCAAAGGCGCGAGCCAAAAAAAAGATGCTGGAGAAGGTTCGACTGCGGGATTTGCTCGATATTACTGTATTTGCCCTTGGATCGCGGTGCCTATGCTTGGCCGTGAGGGATGAGCATATGGGTGGTTGTCAATATTAGGGTCCCCTTAGGGTCCTGAAACTAATTCGGCATCCAATATTTAAGGTACCCAAACGGGGACCATAATTTTGACAACCACCCATATGACCGAAGGTGAGGACGAAGATGCGGGCGAGGAGCGCCACGACTCAACCGAGGTACGGTTGATGATCTAAATCCTGCATTACCTCAAAGACCCTAGACTATGGGAATTATGGTAGATTCCTTGTTATGGGTCATGCAGGATTTATATCATCAACCGAAACACCCAACAATCAGATACTTTCCAAAATCCTAACCTACATAACTACTATCTTCAAACCGATATTGGGTCCTTTGGAGCCGTAGGACGCCACTGGGCCCGAAGGTTTCTGGCTTGTGGGCGGGAACCCAGGACTGAATGCTGAATGGCTTAGCACATTCGCGTATGCTCGCTCTAGAATCTATATATATATATATATATATACTCTCTCTCTCTCTATATATATATATATGTACATATATATATATATATACAGTATATGTATAACAATGTACATATATATATATATATATGTATATATACATGGATAGATAATTAGGTTTTGAAGCATTGCATTGGGAACGACGGAGGTTTCGGTTTAGGGCATTACTGCTTGGGGTTCAGTGTTTGAAGCTTGGGGCTTGGGACTTAGAGCTTGGGGTTTAGGGCTTCGGCTTCGGGGCTGAGGGCCAGTTGGGACTTACCTATAGTCTCCATTGTAGTTCCTTTTTTGGTTAACAAGTTTTATGGTTAGGACCCAATAATAGAGATTTTGGTTATCCAAAAAAGGAATTAGAATGGAGACCATAGGTAGGCGTTAGAGAGGTTTGGTTGTGTTTAAGGTTTAGGGCTTGCTGGTCGAGAGCTGGGGTTCCTCCAGTCGTGACTTCGGAGCATTCATCCCGGTGCGTGTTCCCCTTAGACTCAGGCCCCAAAGTAGTTCCTTTTTGGGGTGCATATTTAGAATCCTATAAGGTAATCCCAATACGGAACTCCTTTGGGGCCTATGGGTAGACTCTATTGAATCTGTGTTGAACCTATATACGCCCTTATGAGAACAGCCTTACCCTAAGGGTCCATGTACCCAAATAGTATATACTTTGCGCCCAATGTACCCATAAGTGAGTACTTTAAGGCCCAGGTATATACTATATGAGTACATGGACCCTTACGGTAAGGGAACCCTGAAAAGGACCCTGATCTTCTTTTCCCAGGTCCAAGCAGCTGTGCAGCAAAACTCGCTGATGGATATGAAGGGCCTGGTGACACAGGCGGGGGCGACTCTTGCCTGTCTCTCGCTGCGAAAACCAAGGCCAACACAACGAAGACCCTAAGACCCTAAACTTCAGGACCACACTGGTAAGGTGTTAACAGGCACTTGGGGTGGTCCTGCTTCCGCATCAAGCTGCGGTGAAGGGCTCGGGCTGGCTCAACGTGTACGGTTCTGGACATCTTAGCCTTAGTCTTCGGGTGGTGCAGGGTATCTTCAAGGATGTGGTCGGGTTGTAGGGTTTAGGTCGCTTTATATATGGGTTTTTAGAGTTCCGCTTTCCGGTGTCACGGGGATTGTGCATGTTCTAGTCAGGCCAGCAGTGATCTCTTCCTGTGTGCCAGCATTCCCTCGTGTAACGGACCCGGCAGCCAGGTTCTTGAGTGGTAAGGCAGGTGAGTCTGTGAGGGAACACATTTATAATATGGTTGGATGCCTGGACCCTTAGGGGTTGTTTAGGGCTTAGGGGTTTAGGGTTTAGTGTTAATTATGGGGTTTAGGGCTTAGGGGTTTAGGGTTAACGGGTTGTGGGGTTTGGTTTAACCTTCTTGTTAGCGATTTTTCTAACACCATTGGCCTCAGACAAGATCAGTTGTTTTTTGATCCTGCCATGGGCCAATCTAGCCCCATGCCTTACACCCTCAACCCTGAAAGCTGTAGGGCCCCGAATGATGTCAAGCCCTATCCCGTAACCCCACACCCTACACCCGAGAAGCCCAAACCAGTCGTGCTATTCGCGAAGGCCTCCTAGCAGATGACGGCTTTGGTGTCACATAGCACTCAGCCCAGATCCTTAAATCCCAAACCCTAAAACGCAGTTTCTGAGTGCTGGGAAGAGAAGGTTTCGGGCTGCCTCGGCTCGTTTTAGGGTTTAGGGTTTAGAGTTCGGCACTGAGGCGTCGGGGTTCAGGGTTTAAGCGACAAGCCAAAGCCCCGATAACCCGACACATCAGCAAGATGTGCTCAAATCCCGCTGGTGCCACAAGCCCACGCTAAGCCACAAAGATGTCTGTCTCAGGCGAACATTGCCGAGTACATGAGCAGTCCGCTCCCCAGGAACCCAGAAAGGTTGAGATAAATACCACAAGAAGAACCCCAAGGGTCCAAAGGACCCAATAATTATGAACTCGGATTTAGGATAGTAGTTATGTAGGGTGGGATTTTGGAGAGTATATGATTCTTGGGTACTTGGACCCTTGGGAAGGAACCAATTTATGGATGTCAAGCAATACTACCCAGCCATATTCCTGGAATCGCCAAAACTCCCTAAGCACTTGAGACCGCGTTGTAATGTAGGATTGATGGCTCAGGGGATTAATAGTGAACGCCGATGGGCTGCATGTCATCGAAAACACGTCAGAAGATCGGTATGCCTACTGACCCTATAAGCCGAAACCCAAGCCATCCGCGCAAACCCGAAGCCTTTATACCAAAGCCAAAACTAAAACCTTTAACCAAACATAGTAATTGGTTGTTTGACCCAAAGGCCCTAAACCCCAGAGGCTCTAAACCCCAAAGGCCCTAAACCCTGACTCTTTAAGCTGAGGCTACCTGAATCTACCGGATGCCGATTCCAACCTCATCCCAACGCCGCTCCGGACCTTCGTTTCCCAGGCGTTTTTGGGGAATTTAGGAGAATTGAGGGGATTTAGGGTTTCGGGTTTAGTACAAATTTGTAGTTTATTAGGGATTGTTGGCTCAGGGTGTATGGTTTAAGTATATAGGTTTACTATACCTTTACTTTCCACATGCACCCCACTTTGATCGAACAACTTGGAATTTTCTGTTGTCTTGTTTATGACCTTGGATGATCGTTATGCTTGAGTGTTGAGGTTGTTTTCAGGTTTAGTTTTGTTTACATTTGGGGGACGCACGGGGAACAGGGTGCGGGAGTTTGCAATGCAGAGCATTCAGGTTTCGGCATTATTGGGTGATATATGTATATATCATATATATATATATATACATAGAGAGAGAGAGAGAGAGAGAGAGAGAGAGAGAGAGAGAGAGAGAAAGAGAGCTCGGAATAGTTAATTACCAGGAATGTCTACTATCCAGCTTCATTCTAATAACCTAATGTAACATGAGCCGAAACCCTGTTATGTTCGGATTCTTAAGGCCCAGAAATCAAGGGGAGAGTTTGAGTTTTGTAATTGGTTTGGTAAAGCGTTTATGCCAGCTTATGCATGAACCCATGTAGCCGTATAGTAGGTGCTTTAGGGCCAAAGTTTTATACTACATCGGCTCATGGAGCTTTAGGGAATGACGGTGCTTGATCCTGCACAGCCGGTTTGCGCTTGCAGGTGACACTGGGAAATCCTCTCTACATTCGCGAGACCATCGACCAGCTTCGCGAACATCACATCCAGGCACAGGGACATCAGCATCAGTTTAACCCTGAAGGACCAAATGACCCTTTAAAGTAGGGGCCTTATACCCATATACTATGAATCCCTATATGGTATATGAACCTTAAACCCTTTTAGGCTTCATTTCGTCCTGAAGGACCTCAAGCCAGGCCCCCGAGCATTCTAGGCACTCGAAATCGAGCGCGGGAAACCCCCAAAACTGAGCGAAGCTTGGGGTTTAGGGTTTAGGGTTTAGGGTTCCGAGTCGCAAGACCAAGCCTTTAGGCATCCTTCAACTTATAAAGGACCCCCGAGCCAAGCCTTAAACGTAAAACCGGAGCATGCGCCCTTCTCTCCACAACTTCGGCAAAACCCTGAACCTCGGAAACCATCCGCCCAGGTTTTTGTAAGGTGAGGTGTCACGTGTCGACATTTTTGCTGTTTCGGTTTTGCTGTACTGCATGGTTTTGGGGTTATAGGGTAGCTTAGTGTTTACCAACGCACCTTATCAACGCATTGTCGCGGGAGTTTCTAGGGAATGAGCCCTTAAGCCCAGAGACGCCCCGGAGTCTCTGAGAGATTTTTAGTCCCCAGGTCCCCCGGACCCATACAAGGCCTAAGCTGGGGTTCACGGCCTAGGGCCTACTTGGAGGGGCAGGGGACCTAGTAAATAGGTTTCAAGTAGAGTTATAAGTAGCCTAAATGGAGTTACCCCAGTTATAACCCTACTTACAACCCTACTTACTAGGTCCCCTGCCCCTCCAAGTAAACCCTAAACCCTAAACCCCATAGATCCCTTTAAGGAACCCTATAGATCCCTTTAAGGAGCCCTTTTAAGAGCCCTTACTAAGTCCCCCGCCCCTCCAAGTAGGGTGGGGGGACTCAGGGCTGAAGGGTTGTAATTCAGGATTAGACAGGATTGGGAATTCCTGCTTGAGGCTTCATTAGGATGTCCTTAAGGGGGGGTGGTCCAAGAGGGGTAGGCAACCTAGTAATCCCCATTATTCCCCAATACTCCCTAAGCTTCCCTAAGGTTCCCCAAAGCTCCCTAGTACCCTCCCCCCTTGAACCACCCCCCCTTAAGGATCCTATAACTTCAGGGCTAAGGGCTGTAGACTTCAAATATCCCTAAGCCCGGAGACCCCCACAAACCTATATGAGACGGACGAGATTGGGTGTGCAAGGCTCCGCGTGCAGAGTTTTCCTCTAGTCTCCACTGCAGTTACTTTTCTGGGTTGCCTTCTACCTAGAGGCTCATACCCTACCCCTTGTTTAGGGCGCCTACTTTTAAGATAACAGATCGTGAAGCTAGGTATCCTAAAAAAGGGGTAGGGTATGAGCCTCTAGGTAGGATCCAAAATAATGAATTGGTTGGAACGACCACTACGCAGCAACAACTTTGGAAAGTCCAGGGCGGAAGAAAGGGCAAGCATGATCATCATATCCTCTTTTCGTCCTTACATAGTTCTTTCAGCCACATGCTCCCCCCCAAACACTATTCTAATTGTTTAAAGCCTCTATGTTGGGGAGGTTGGATCGGCGAGTTAGCGCTCTAGTGTGTTGTTTTTAGGCTGTAAGGTTCGGGGACTAGGGCTGCCTGACATGCCCGGATAGTCATCGGTTCACATAACTTTCGAGCCATCGCCAACGTCATCCAATGGCCTCAATCCCTTCTGCTCAAACCATGGATTTTACGTCCTAAACCCTGAAGCCTCTATCAGGAATTCTCAACCCTGCGTAATCCTGAATCCACACCGCTGCTCCTACAAAAGTGAAACTGGGTCCCGAACCCAAACCCTCAAAGCAGGTAGTAGTATAGAAGCCTCAATAATCGTGCGCTCCTCCTGGCGAGCATACTTCGAAACCCGATTCTAGGTATTACTGCGGTCCTAGACTGACAACTTTTGCGACACCTTCCCCTGTTCAGGTAAACGAAGGCGCTGGTGGGCAGGTGAAGAACGTTGAATGCAAGGTGCCGGGGGCTGGTTTGCTCATTTAGGGTGTAGGATTGAGGTTAGGAGCTTTTCCAGGTGCTTTGCCACCTGCATACTTACCACCTCTGTTGTCTCGTTGGGCTTTTGCATATGTCAGTTGCATATCTCGTGCCGTGACTATGTTTCTGCCATAACTTCCATGTGCTAGCCACTCCTCAACATTGATACTGATGCCGGATGGTTTCCAGACTCCGTCGTTGCCATAGCAATCAACCAGATGTGGTTATCGCACTCTTTCAGTGGCTCATTCGTTAACCTGTTTTTTTTCGCCAGGCTGTCTGCTGTGAATCCGAGACAGAGAGCGCGAGAGGTAGCACTTAGGTATGCATGTTATTAAAGGTTTAGGGAGCGTGGTTCTGCGACTGTGCTGACCGAGAGTTTCTGAACGAAATGCATCATGCAAGAGCTTTGCCTGGATGCCAGGATATTGACAAGGTCAATGTCTCACAGCGCCTTGGTATTATATGTGCCTTTCTAAGAAAGACATCAACCCGAATGGTCCATGCCCTCAAAGGACTATGCTGTGGTCCTAGAGTACCTATGTAGGTACCACTTTGAAGCCAAAACATGTACTATGTGGGTCGATGGACCTTTACTGTATCATAGCCGGCTCCTTGAGGTTTGAGCTTTTGGGAATATTCTGCACGTCTGCGGAAACCAACTTAAACCCCTAATCTTTGCCCTAAACCCCGAAACCCTCAACCCTCAACCCTAAATCCTAAGCCCCGCATGTGTGCAGACAGGCACCACAGACATGTCATGAGGTCGGTAGCCGGAGGGTTCCGCCGGGTCCAGGGTGTACAGTTTCGAGGTATTCGGGTTCAGGGTTTGGCGGTTTAGGGTTTTACTTTTGCGGGTTTACGGTCTAGAGGTTTAGGGGACAGGGTTCCAGGATTCTTGCAGACGTCTTTGTCGTTCTTCTCGCGAATATCCATCCCAAACCTTACGACTACACACTCCCGGACCCTTATCCGCAAGCTTCCGAAGCTGAGACTAGATATCCGAAGCTCTTATAAACTCCCAAAACTCTTATAAACGCCTAAAGCTCTTATAAACTCCTAAACTGTAAACCCTTCTGGTTCAGAACCTGCGTGGCCAGCACTTCGATAGCAGGAACTTAGCTTTCGACTCCTTGGGTGTTAATTAGTATAGGGAATGGGGGAAGGGATCTCTATGACAGCCCCTTAGTAGGGTTGATGATATAAATCCTGCATTACCTTAAGGACCACAAAGTATGGGAATTATGGTATATTCCTTATAATATGGGTAATGCAGGATTTATATCATCAACCGTAGGGTTTCTTAGAGAAGTCCGTCCCTGAACCTTTTCTTCTTTCTGTACTTAGACCCACGGTAGTTATTCAAGCTAGCCCACTCCCCCGCCTTGCCTAGCGTTTGCTCAAATTGCTCATACATTGCATAAACACGCATCTCTCCCCCCCAAATGCAACTATGGCGTAATAATGCCCACCAGAAACCCTCTTCCAGTCATCAAGGCTCCTACATCATCGAACTCTTGTTCAGCAAAGAACCCTCAAAACAAGCCTCGTTAGGGGTCTTGGCTTGAGCAGTTCAGGCTTAATTAGCCGGTTTTCGGTGCTAACTAGGGGCTTACCTGCCTGAACCCTTACCTTACGAGTTTTAATGGGGCTCAATAATTAGGTCCGTTCTTTTAGGATATAATAATAATGTAGGCTACTTAAACCGGACATTTCATGATTGTTGGTACTTGGACCCTTGCTTAAAGGATCATGGGACTTAGTAAGTGGGGTTATAAGTAAGGTAGCTACAGTTACAACTACTTCTAACCCCAATTAAGGTACTTATAACCCTACTTACTAAGTCCCATGATCCTCCAAGTAGACCCTAAACCCTGAACCCTTATAGCACCCCTTATAGATCCCTTAAAGGGACCCCTATAACCCGACTTACTAAGTCCCATGATCCTCCAAGTGGGATTCAACTGGAACCCTTCAAGGTGGGGCCATACGGCGATGATCGGCAATACAGTCTGCGCCCTCGAGGCGTTAGACCCCCTGGAGGCCAGTCGTTGCCGATCTTCATGTAGATTCCCGATTTAAATGTATGTGTGTGTGTGTGTACTGTGTCACCCTGCTCGTTTAAAGGGTCAAGCTACTCAGACATTAGGGTTCTGACCCGTCGGCAGGGTTCGGTCTTCTGCACTCATCCCAGAGAGTCACGGCTCCGTTTCGTTTGCGGTCCTTGTAATACAGACTTATAGTAGCTGAGTGGATACGCTTTACACTTTTTTGGAGAACATCACACACTATGAAACTGAAAGTGTACACTTTTAGGGGCTTATGAACTCAGTAACTATGTAGATCTTTTGGTTGACCCATGTTAGGACAAAGGTTTTCGAAAGCTCGCTGTGGTGATGACTGTGGAGAAGAGGCAGGTGATGCTAATGCTGCCGCTGATGATGTTGACGGCGTTTAGGCGGGAGTTGAGGCTGAGTGTCACAGGGACAATGGCTTAGGCAGGACAAGGCTTAGGATTTATGGGTTCGAGAGATGGGCTTGACACTTAAGATGGAAGTTCCTACAATAACCTTCAAAAAAGAATTAAGGACAGTACAAGGCGGCTGCATGATTATGTTGATACTCCGAGTTTCTGGCTCTTAGGTAGGGCCAGTACCTTAGAGAAGGGGGATGCTCCAAGTCTCTCGCCTTCCACAAGCGCTACAGTACCGGCATTGGGCTTGTAGGTGCCAGTAGTTACAATGCCTTATGCAGATCCCCTCTTCTGCATACTCATGTTGCTTCATGCAGCCCCGCTTGACATTCCTTCGTTTATAATGTCCTTAATAATTAGAATAGGGTTTTAGGGCCCATTATACTCTAAATATAATAAGGAACCACCAAAATCATATTGGTACTTATTTCGGCCCCTACAGTAGTTTTCTTAGATAAATCCGGGCATGTGGATTGGACTTTAAGGTCCGAGTCGCGAGAAATACCCGTTTCGCTCCCCCAACACTCTAGATCCTAGGCTTCCGAACCCCTGAAACCCGTAAGCCACCTAAATCGTTAAGACAAACCTGCCGTAGCCAATCTCATGGCCACAAGATCCTTAGCCTTAGCCCTAAACCCGCACCCTTAAAACCCGAAACCCTAAACCCTTCAGTTTGAATATTGGCTCGGCAGAGGTTGGGACTAATGGCTCTTCCAAACCTGGAATTTCGGACGCAAGTGCAGACGGAAAAGGGCCCATAAAAACAAAAAAGAAACCTTAAACCCCTAAGCCAGAAAGTTGGAATATGATTATCCTCAACCCTTTATGGTAAATTACAAGGTATCCTACCCTGAAACCATATTCCAACTTTCTGGAGTTCCCTTTAGACCCCCGAAGAACTCGAAATCCGACTTCTCTTCGAGGCGGCCGTGCTGAAGATGAGCACCTGCTTCGTGGGGCCCTTCACTCTCGGGGATCTGGCGGCCAGCATCTGCTCAAGGCAGAGGTTTAGGGTTTAGGGTTTAGGGCTTCTTTAAAGGGATCCTTTAAGGGTTCCTTAAAGGGATCTATAAGGGCTCCATAAAGGGTTTAGGGTTCCGGGGTTCAGGGTAGTTTAGGGTTCAGGGCTTAGGGTTTGGGGTTCACGGGTTTAGGGTTTAGGGCCATACCACTCCCCAAATAACCTACAGATGGGCTATATAACGCAACCCAGAAACTCAACTACATTGGATGCTGTGTTTTGTACAGTGAAAAACAAGGGATACTGCAGGTAGAGCTCCCTAAGCCCTAAACCCTGTTTAGGTTTCTGGGTTTAGGGTTTAGGGTTTAGGGCCTAAGCCCTTAACCCTGCTATAGGCCCTAAACCCTACTATAGGTAGAACACCAATAAAGCTCGACGTGAAGGTGGGCGGATTCGACGCACTTCGACTTCCTTCGCCTGTTTCAGGCAAAGGGCAGCTGGATGTTTTTTTAATTTATCTCAGGGTTTAGGGTTGAGGGGTTTAGGGTTTGGTAGGAGTTTGGGGTTTAGGGTTTACGGGTATAGGGTTTAGGGTTTGAGTTCAGGCATTTTTATACTTCATATTGACATTCTACAGGGCTTGCGTACCAGTTTGTGCTTGAGCTCAGAGTTTTAGGCTTGTGGCCTGTAGATTTTTGGGCTTTTCAACCTTCAAGAGGGGATTTAACCCTAAGGCTCCATGCACCCATATAGTATATAATTAGGCCTTAAAGTACGTATATAGGGACCCCTTTAAGGCTTAAGTATCTACTATTTGGGTACCATAGACCCTTATATATACCCTAGACCCTATAGAACCCTTTAAAGGCACCCTGAAAGGACCCCTTTAAGGCTTAAGTATCTACTATAAAGGTACCATGGAGTTTTTGGGTAAGGGTCTAGGGCCTGGGGGGTTCAGGTTTGTAGGATTGTAAGTATTACACGCAGCAATTACGACTGAACCCCCCTAAAGGGTTTAGGGTTTAGGGTTTAGGGGTTTAGGGGTTTAGGGTTTAGGGGTTTAGGGGTTTAGGGGTTTAGGGTTTAGGGTTCTGTATATTTACATCTGTCGAACTTTGTTCTGCAGGGTTCAAGATTTTGGGACTTGTTAGGACGGACGATTATCGGAGACTTTTCGCGTTCAGAATGTAGTGATCCATGCTTCGTGCAAATGCAAATCGAATGCTACCGTGCCCTGAACCGTAGAACCGTTCTGCCCAAAATCCTAAGCCATGCTGAGCCTCAAATATCCCCAAATCTTCTCTTAGCCCCTATAACCCCTGGACCCCTTAATTATCGGTTTAACAGTTTACTCTGTAATCCCTAGTTCCACAACTTGGCATTGTCCACAAGATCTGTGGCCAAGACCCTTTCTGAGCCTTACAATTCGATCCTCAATATTTCTAAACCTAAGTCCTCCATCCAAATGCCTGCTAAACCCAACTGAGCTGTTGTTGGTCGTGCTCAGGTTAAACCAAACCCTAAGGGTCCATGTGCCCAAATAGTATATACATTGGCCCCAACTACTTTAAGGCCAAAGTATGTATTCTTTGAGTACATGGACCCTTAGGGAAACCCAAACCCACCTCAATCTAAACCATCAGCCCCTAGCACTCCAAACAGCCCAAAAACCTCCAACCCCGGCATAGCTCCAACAACTCCTTGCAATTGGACAGCCCTACATAAACCCGAGAAGCAACGACTAGCTCCCTGTTTGTTTCCTCGACCCTTGGCCCTCAACCCTAACCTGTCCCATACCATACCACTATAAACCCGAAAGTTCAACACCCTAAACCCTACAAACCCCGCACTCTAAACCCTATAAACCAAAAGCCCTAAACGCTATAAACCCCAAACCCTAAAACCCTAAACCCTACACCTAAGCTCTTCCCCTCTGCCTCTACCGTGTTCTTGGGAGGCCATTCGGAAGCTGCAGGATCAGAAGATGATCGAGGCGCCTGCGTTCTTGTTAAGGAGTTTAATTTAAGTTACCCAAATAGGTATCTTTTCAGGTTCCTTTAAGGGGCCTATAAAGCTCCCTTCAAGGGGTTTAAAAGTTTTTTTTTATGGTTATAGGGTTTAAGGTCAAAGTTACCGTACTAGTGATCTATAGTAAAAAGTATGCTTTCCTTATTTAGGTTATCTTGAATCCCTTAACAAGAACCCAGGCGGTGGATGTGCCGGAGGAGACCGAGACCAGGCGCGGACCTTTGGTTTTCGTTTGGTGCATCCGGAGGGACCACATACACTACCATTACCCCAAGGGTCCAAGTACCCAATAATCATATACTCTCCAAAATCCTAACCTACATAACTGCTATCCTAAAACCGAGTACCTGACTATTGGGTCCTTTGGACCCTTGGGGTTATGGAACTAGGTCACAAAAGACCGTCCTAATAGCGGCTTTGGGGTCCTAATTCCATAACAGTAGCATATATGAAAACTCTTGGTATGGGTAGTTCTCTAGATTAGGGTCCCTTTTCGGGCTCCACCTACATACCATACCCCAGAGGGTCCAAAGTACTTATATGGGGGATCCTTACGCGAACCATAAGAGGAATTCCCACTAGAGAAACCTACTTTCTACTATACAGATACTTAGGAAGCCTTAAAGGAACCCTAAACCCTAAGCCCTTAAAGGAACCCTTACCCTCCTCCCGGGGGTCTGGGTATAAGTACTGAGGACCTTTTGGGGAGAGGCGGCAGGGTTTCAGCCCTCATACGGCGGATGTCCGCCTGCTTACCTCGTGACTCAATCGCCCAAAATGTCATTAAAGCTACCTACGGGCCCCTTAAAAGCTACTATACGGGTTCTATATCGGTTCTACAAGGGCTTTGAGGGTCCATCTACCCATCTAGTACATACTTTGTTTGGCGTTGAAGCACCTATATAGAGGCTCCTTTAAAGCCGCACTATATAGTTATGTATACTATTTGGGCACGTGAACCCTTAGGGTTATAGTTGCTGTGAACGACCAGTAGCAACAGCAACAACAGCCACAGCTGCCAGCAGCAAGCGCAACCACAGCACTGCCATAAGTCTTGTATGCGTGGCTCAAAAGGCAGACATGCAATGTATTCTGTTCAAGATCCACTTAGAGACCTTCATCGAAGTGACACATTCCAATATGACCACCACAGACAGAATAATTGACATCAGATCCCTCATGAATTGTTTCAGGAGCTTCCTTAATGCTCCAGAGGTGTTTGGAGAACCACTGGAGGTCCCCAAGACCCTAGGCCTTACATCCAATAATACTCTACAGAGCAATCTACTTCAAAGCCACCCTCTGACATCTCAAACTTGGTATGTAAGCCTAGAAGTCCATGTCGAGCTGGCCCGCTTAAGGCTATAACTCCAAGCAAGAGTGACTCGATGTAGCGTGGAGTGTTTGGCAATTAGGAGTTGCTGTTCTACTGGGGTCCAGGCGCTTGGACTGACCATTGAACCGTAAACCTTTGCCAGATCTTCAATCGCAACTCTCAACCCGGAACCCTAAGCCAAAAACCTTAAACCCCGAGCATCTTTTAAATCCTGTAAACACTGTAGCAGTCTTAATAAACTGTCTACAAACACTAGTTTACTCGCTATTTGCCAGTACTTACCTTTGGTTAGTAGGGAATGGAAGAAGGTAGTAATAGTAGTTATAATTATTGTACCTCATTCTTCCATTCCCTACTAACCAAAGGTAAGAGTAAACCCCAAGTCCATCTTGAGCCGACCTTCCGTCCTTTGGTCGCCCAACGCTGCCTGCGGGACGAAGGCGAGGGAACGACAGGGAGGACTTGACGGTTTAGGGTCAGTATTCCCCATATCAATACCTAGGACCCTTTGGGTTTATTTGGCGGCTTGAGGTGTTGGGGTTTAGATGTATGGCCTTTGCATGATTTAGGGTTTAGACTTCAGGTTTTAGGTTTTGGACGTCTTTCTTGTAGGGAGGTGATCGGGATCTTAAGAGTTTGCGAACTAATCAAGGATTAGACTTCATGGTTAAGGGTTTATAGGGTTCAGGGTGTAGGGTTCATTCCTGTAGAGCCTAAACAGTGAACCCCCCACAAATCCTAAACTCCGAAGCCCTGAACTTTCAATTCACTATTCGACTTCATGGTTAAGGGTGTTTTAGGGTTTAGGGTCCGCAACCCCAAACCCTAAGCCCTTTTGGTTTCCTAAACCCTAAACCCTAAACCCTAAACCGTTGCTGGATTCGGGTGACACAGTGAAGCTGTAAAACCTGGGCTTCAGGATCGTCGTAATTGAAAACGTTTAAAGTTTAGGGCCTACCCCAGGGCCCCCAAAGTAGTTCCTTTTGGGGGTTCATATTTAGAATCCTATAAGGCAGTCCCAAAAAGGAACTACTTTGGGGTCTATGGGTAGGGTCTTTAGGATCCAAGAAGAACCTTCGGAACTAGCTCACTTAAGGATCCCCTGTCTTTTTGTTTTGAATTGGGGTATCTAGGGGTCTCAGGTTTGGGGGTCTTCATAGAGGAGAGAGACAGAGAGTTTGTGAGTTCTGGTAGGGGTTCGTAAGGGTGGGTCCTTCGGAATTGTCCGCAGCTCCTATCAAAACACTTAAAACACTCGGTTCTTGTTAAGTAAGGAGCTTGTGCAACTTAAATTCCCACAATAAGGATCCATAGCAGATAACCCAGTTTCCCTATCGTGGTTATTTACTTCAAGCAACCTAAACCCTAAACCCCTAAACAAGAACCAAGGATGGCGAGCAGCCTGAATCTCGCAACAGCAAGGCGTCATAAGTTATAAGCTAGCAGTATTAGCACTGGGCTTGGGAGTAGGGCGTGGATGTGGAATGGCATGTATGAGCGCTCACCGTGCCCCTAAACCCTGAACCCTAAACCCTCCCCATGCAGCAGCACTTTTCTGCGTTGTTCTCCCGTCAACTTCTCAAGCAGGAGGCAGGAGGCCTTGATGGCGATGACAGCAGGTTTAGGGTTCAGGCTTCCATGCCTTGGCGAGGAGTGTATCGGCAAAGCTGAGACCAGCATGGGCCCCGCCAAATGAAGCAGCCCAACTTTGCTGGGTGTGGTCGGCGTGCTGCTGTAAGGTGCTGTCCAGAACAAGATGATGCCGGTGAGCTGAGATCCGACTGCAAAGATCATGAACAGCCGATGCAAAATGTGCTTTGGACAGGTTTATCATTGGTCTCTGCCCTCCTCTCTTGATATCTTCGTGTTCTGTTGTGTTTGTTCTCCCTTCATTGTTTTTGTGCTGCTGGGCGCGCGGAGGCAGCCCGAGCGAGACCAAGCTTTCTCCCAGCTTACAACAGGGGCGAGCTGTTCGCAGGGCGACTAAGCAAGCATTATGCGCGTCGTGCACAATCGTAGTCGTCTCGCAGCGCTCAAAAAGTCGAACAAGAGCGCGAAAACAGCACGAGCAAAACACAAAAAACAAAGCAACACAGGCGAAAACCAAGAAAACAACACACAAAAACAAAGAAGCTCAACTAGTTCCGAAGCCATATTTTATCTCTGCGTGTGCTATATTCGCTTAATCCCTAATTTCACAAAAGCTTTACCCTGAAGCTGAAGTCAGTTTTTCAGTCCTGCATGCGTAGGATGGTCTGTGGGCCTCCCCAAGCGTTTACAGCTAAGACCTCCCAGAGACTCCAATACCCCTTAATTAAGGAGTAATCCTTAAATCATATTAGGGATCCTACTATAGTTTAAGGTATATTCCTTAATTAAGGCTATTGGAGTCTCTGGGCTTTGGGTGTACCCAATGCCTCCAGGGACCTTATGTGTTGGTCCTTAAGGGGTCTAAACCGCTAACTTTGAGGTCCTTGGAAGGATAGGGGTAAGATTTGGAGCCTTGGGGCTCTGGCTTCGGGATTTAGTTCAGGGTTTTCCTAGACCCCCCAACCACCCCTTATGCTAGCCCCTAATTACCTCTTAAATGAGAAGTATTAGAGCCCTTTAAAGGGTACTTGGGGGTCTTTTTTGGGGACGCCTGATCGACTGATGCGCGCTAATGTAGGAACCTGATTCAGAAACCCTGGGCCTATAACCCCAAAATGGCAGGATTCATATAATAATGAACCCGAATAAAGGCCCAAGCTTTCTTAATCAGGTTCCTACATTCCCAGAGACTCCAATACCCCTTAATTAAGGAATATGCCTTAAATTATAGTAGGATCCCTAATATGATTTAAGGAATATTCCTTAATTAAGGGGTATTGGAGTCTCTGGCTTTTGCTTCCCGAATCGGGAAGCCAGCGGATCTGATGTAACGGTTGTCCGTTTAGTGTCTGGGGTTTAGGGTTTAGGGGTTTAGGGTTTCAGCAGGGGCCCTAGACCCGTATACTATGAATCCCTTTATGGTATATGAGCCTCAAACCCTTTTAGGGTTCATTTCGTCCTTAAAGAGGTGGCATTCACAAAATTCGTGAAGAGAATCTACAACGACCCTTGTCCCAGATCTAATCCCAGCTCCTACGTTCGAAGGGTACGCTCGTACCCTTAAAGGTCCAAGGTATATACCATTCGGATACATGGACCCTGAGGGTAGGCTGTCTGGATCACAGCCCAACAACCCTGGCACCCTTGCCCCAGTCCCCTACCTCCTCCTTGAACGTACGTCCCTAGGTTCTAAGTTTCAGAAGTTTTAACTTTAACCTTGAACCTCAAGAATGACTAAGCCCTGCTCACATCCTGAAAACATATCTGCTTAAGGACTTGTAGAATCTAGAAGGCAGGGAGGGGGGTTCCAAGCATGAGCCCTAAAGCTATCTACGAAGGCTTACAGTGACTCTTGTAGGGGCCCTTATTTACCCTAGTAGTAGAGTAGGTAACTTTTAACCTTTTTGGGGTAGTATAGTCCCTATATAATCCCTATAACAAAAAATTAAAAAGGTTCACCATTAGTTGCCCATGATACCCGACAAGTAGGTTACCCTATAGCTGTATAGGATCCTTACGTAGCCCTAAACCATAAACCCTAAAGCCTAAACCCTAAGCCCCTAAACCCTAAACCCCTAAACCCTAAAACCTGAACCCTAAACCCTAAACCCCTAAACCCCAAGCTGAAAACCAGATCGTAAAGGCATGAACTTCGTCCGTGCCGAAACGCTGGTGCAAGAGATCACGGCGGGGTCCCCGGTTTTCTGGGCATCTCCCCAGAGACTGCTATATCCCTCAATTCAGGAATATACCTTGAATTATAGTAAGATCCCTAATATGATTTAAGGAATACTCCTTAATCAAGGAGTCGCTGGGTCGGGGTATCTTCGATCGTCAGACTCCTTTAAAGGGCCGAGTTAAGGAATGTACCTTTACAGAAAGGAGCCCGCTATGATTCATGGTCTGTTGCACGGTATACTGCTTAATTACGAGGTTGTGGAGTGGTAATATTGCATGTTATAGAAGCATATTCGGGAAAACTTCGCTACAGTTCAGAGTAACCCCAACCAAGGTCTGCGGGACCCGCCAAAGACCGCAAAACTTTCCGCGAGCCCAATACCCCTTAATTAAGGAAGATGGCTTAAATTATATAGGGCTTCATATTATGATGTAAGCTATATTCCTGAATTAAGGGGTATTGGGCTCTCTGGGTCATGACTTCAAGAATGCCTTAGTTGTTTGCACGTTTGGATTTTTACGCTTGCCCAGGTCGAACAAAATTTGAACGCTCTCTCCTGTTTCGTGCTGTTCCAGGCTCCCAACTTTGTCCAGGCCACTATAATATGGATAACAATAACAATAGTAATAGCAAGAGTAGCAACACTAATGATAGTCGCCAGCTCCCTCTGAGGGCGATGGCAAAGTTCGGGACATCGTGACGCAGGTCAAGAAGTCGGAGGTGGGACGTTTCGCAAACCTAACTCCAAAGCTCTCTCTCTTTCTCTCTCTCTCTGGGCCTCTGTGTCAAGAACTCTTTAGTACGGTTCCCAATAGGATTTCTTTTCGGGGTTTCTTCTCCCTAAACCCTAAACCCAGGGTGCCAATTAGTGTTTCTTCTACGTGTCCTGTGAGGGCTTCTAGGGTCTCCTTGGTTGTAGGGCCCAAACACCATACTACGGTTGATGATATAAATCCTGCATGACCTTAAGGACCCTCAACTATGGGAACAATCCCTGTGCATCTGCGGCCATACTTTTCTAGGTTGTTCCCAACAGCCGCACTTTACCCCTGAGCGACCGCATTTCACTCGACAGGCCAATGGAGATATATAACGATGATGTTGATGGAAGCGGACGCGTTTTACCCGACGCCTCGGCGCGACACGAACAATAGAAGCGGACACGTTTGGCCGACCAGTTTCAAAGTGCACAAAAATAGAAGCGGACGCATTTGGCCGACCACTCCACCTGAAATGCCGACCAAAGCCAACAAGCCGCTCGACCCCAAAAGGAACCGTGAGAAAACCGTGAGTAAGCGTGAGTGGGGTGGTGGTGGGCCCGCCGTTCCTCTACGAAAGCTCTTGCTCGACCCCAAAAGGAACCGTTAGAAAACCGTGAGTAACCGTGAGTGGGGTGTTGGTGGGCCCGCCGTTCCTCTACGAAAGCTCTTGCTCGACCCCTGGAAAAGTTAGGCGGTTCGGATTGGCGGGTCTCCAAACTGAGCGGGGTAAAATGTAGCTGTTCGGGCCAACGGGTCTCATAACCCAGTCGGGGAATTTGCGGCTGTTGGGATCCCGCTGAACATTAATGGGCATGGGCCCTGCTAGGGGGAAAATGGTGTGGTTCAAACCGGATTTTCGAACAGACTATCTTTTCCTTAGCCCAGCGCCAACGCCCAAAGTTTTCCTGTCTGTTGGAAGCATAGGGAATGGTATATTCCTTTTTTAAGGGTAATGCAGGATAAATACCATCAACAGTATTCAAGGCTCTGGCGCTATTCTGAACCCTAGGCTAAACCATCTTGTTTCAACAGGACCTGTATCCTTCTGTATAGCCTGTAAGTGGCTTATAATTGCTCGCAAGACCAAATATTCCCTAAGCCCTGTAATTACCCAACGCCTACCTAAATCCTATCCCCCCAACACCCGTTCCACCCTCAACAAGAGCAGTAACACCCGGAGGGAAGAGGTTAATATACCGCCTTAATGGTTATCTATACTATTTTGGTGGCTCCTTATTACAATTTTAGCATACTGGGCACCAACACCCTGTTCTAACTATTAAGGCTCCTACATTGCAGTACCCTTACAGTATCCCCTTATAGTAGCCCTGATTGCACCCTTACAGAAGGAACCCTATTCTAAGTATTAAGGCCCCTATGCTATAGAACCCTACTATATATAGATCCCTTGGTTATAGAGCCGTTTAAGGAAGCCTTTTAAAGGGAACCCTATTCCAATTATCAAGGCCTCTCTACTACAAAACCCTACTATAGATCCCTTTAAGTGTTACGTCCGTTCCGTCCGGTAAGGCGGAGAAAGAAGCCGAGCGAAAGGAGACCGTTCTTCGAAACTTGCAAGGGCCTCAAGTTTAGGGTTTAAGGTTGTAGGGTTTAGGGTTTATAGAAATTGTTAAGGGTTTGGTTGCCGAAAGCGTTTTGACAGAAGCGTTTCGACAGGTTCCTTTTTGAACTTGGGTTTGAGTGATGAGCCGGGATCCGGAGCTGGATTTTCCGACTGTTTTTTATGTTTTGGAAACTGGACTGGGGCTGGGCTAGGGTTGGGGGTTGGGGGCTGGGGGCTGGAGGCTTGGGGCTGGGCTAGGAGCTGGGGGTTGGGGCGAAGCTCCTTGCAGCACGCTGAAGATATATCCTAAACCCTTAAACCCTAAACCCTTAAACCCTAAACCCCTAAACTAAAACCCTAAACCCCTAAACCCTTAATTAAACCCTAAACCCCTAAGCCCAAGCCCTAAACTTCTTGATCCGCCAAGGATGCCCAGACCCTAAAGACCTAAGCTGCTAGCAAAAGGCCGGAGTTCAAGCGCGACGGGCAGTCTGCTGCGGAGCAGATCGCCAACAACAAAGAAGACGAGAAAGATCAGGCAGCTGGGGCGAGTGCAGGGGGTACATATACATACATACACATGTATATATATATATATATATATATATATATACATATATAAATAAATAAATATACACAAATATATATATATATATATACATATATATGTAACACACACATATATATACATATATACATATATGCATATATATATATATATATATTTATTTATTTATTTATTTATTTACACACACACACACATATATATATATATAAATTTCTACATATATATATAGAGAGAGAGAGAGAGAGAGAGAAAAAAGAAAGAGAGAGAGAGAGAGAGAGAGAGAGAGAAAGAGAGAGAAAGAGAGAGAAAGAGAGAGAGAGAGAGAGAGAGAGAGAGAGAGAGAGAGAGAGAGAGAGAGAGAGAAAGAGAGGGTTTAGGGTTGCGGGGTTTAGGGGTTTGGGGTTTAGAGTTTCGGATCGTTTTTCCTCTCCATGTTTAATGTTTAGCAATGGTTGAATAGTGAGAATGGTATATATCATAGTCATGGCAATATTTTCACAGTTTCAGAAAGAAGCAGTTTAACACTGAGAACATTGAGAACATGTAGCACGTTCATTCTTTCAAGAGGGCTTATGAATCGTAGCCTTGTAAGCCCTCAACCCTAAATTCAAGGGCCTAGGGTTTAGGGTTTCGCTTGAAACAGGGTAAGTTTGGTAGGTAGGGGCCAAAAAGCCAAACAAATGTGGCATAGTTTAATCTTCAGCCCCCAAAGGGTGGAAGGATACGGGCCAAGCAAGAGTCAGCAGCAGGTTCAACCCTATGCTTCCGGGGACCTTATCATTGGGTCCTTAAGGGTCTAGGGCCCTAACTGTAAGGTCCTTGGAAGCATAAGGTAAGACAAGCCACATGAAGATAGGGGCTCCAGTGTGGCGAGCTTCTCGCGGTGGTTTCGGGTTAAGGGTTTATTTTAGGGTGTCAGCTTTCCGAGATGAAGCTTTGGGGGAAGGAACTGGAGTTTAGAACTGGGTGTAAAGCCGCACTGTTTGAATCTGACTTGATGATGAGTTTAGGCTTTCGACGGGACAGGTCTTGAAACCATACTGGGCCCATATTTATTTTGCACCTGTTTGAACGACAGGTTGGTCTATGTAAGTTCTCCCCAAAGAACTGAGATGATGTGTGCTTGCTATGGCACGCGATGGGAACATATACGATAATATGACAAGAAATGCTGTGCACGCTGCACCAGGAGTTTTGGAATGACAGGCAGTGTCAAACCAGAGACTCCGATATTCCTTAATTAAAGAACATACCTTAAATTATAATAGGATCCCTAATATGATTGAAGGAATATTCCTTAATTAAGGGATATTGGAATCTCTGTCAAAATGCAGGCTTACTGGCTGAACGTGTCAAGTAAAACCCCGAGGGGTTATCAAGCACATTAGTGTTTAGTATGGTTCTAAGGGCGCTGAAGGTTCAGCAGGAGTTGAGATCAGCGCACTGCTTGGATGACTTGCTCCACAGGGTGAACAAGGCTGCGGCATGGAAGCAGCCTCCAAATAACAGAGAAAAGCATGGTATCCGAGGGAGCGTCTTGCATAGCATGGTATAGGGTTTTTCCAAGAAGGACCATGCTTTGTAGGGTAACTCCGTAAACCCTCAACAACCCTGTAAGTCTAATGATCACAAGAGTAGGGTTGCATCACTTTCTGAAGCTCCTCTATGTGCTTCCAGACCTAGCGACTGGTCTCTGACCTGCGATCCAGATCCCTAAACCCTAAACCATAAACCTTAAACCCTAAACCCTAAACCCCTAAACCCTAAACCCTAAACCCCTAAACCCTAAACCCTAAACCTCCTTTAAAGCAGACCCTAAGGGTCCATGTACTCAAATAGTACATACGTTGGCCTTAAAGTAGTCCCTAAATAGGCACCTTGGGGCCAATGTATATACTATTAGGGTACATGGACCCTTAGGGAGATTGAGTTTCAAGGGGTGTTTCGGAACACCGAGTTCTGCCATTGCTCCTTTCCTCCACGGCAGGATAAAGAGGATAAGTACAACGTCCACACGATCGATGAGGCCGCAGCTTGGTGTTCGGGGTCTAGTCTGCAATCGTGGGGTATAGGTTCAGCAGTTTCATATTTGATCTTTGTATCAATAATCTCTCTTCACGGGTATTAAGTCAAAATGCAACACAGATACATCGCAACAAAGCCGTGAGTGGCGGATTCGCGTGGCATCGACATGTCTCTGTGTGACCTCTCAAGCTCACACAAACACACCCCCAAGGGTCCAAAGGACCCAATAATCAGGAACTCGGTTTTAGGATAGTAGTTATGTAGGTTCGGATTTTGGAGAGTATATGATTGTTGGGTACTTGGACCCTTGGGGCACGGTTTAGGTCAGGGTTTCAGGTGCCACGCAGTCCGAGCGCTTCGATAGCTCTGCACTTGGGGCCTGGGGGATCGAAACACTACCCAAAGGCTCCATGTACCTTTATAGTAGATACTTAAGCCTTAAAGGGGTCCCTATATAGGTACTTTAAGGCCTAATTATATACTATTATAGGGTACATGGAGCCTTAGGGGTAGCGATAGACTTGCTATTCAGAACCTCGGCCCTGTGACATGTCAATGCAGCACCATCGGTTTGGCTTTTGGGGTTATAGGCAGCTACGGAGCTTGTGGGCTTTAGGCTGTGGTTTTGGCTTTAGGTCATGCTTTCCAGCAGAAAAGCTTGAAGTATCACGAAGCAAAAGCTTGAGCAGGAAAACACAGTCTATCAAACCTGAAACATCGAGAACAGAGAGGTACAGCATACCATGCGCGCCCCCTAACAACTCAACATGTGGATAGTTCTCTAAATTAGAATTCCTTTTAGAGTCCTTTCTTATAAGGGTGCCGTACAATTTGGGGGCCCAAGAAGGAACCCTAATTTAGAAAACTACCTGAGTGTGCACGAATAGCGGCCCTCAACACCCATGAGGATTTGGGTTTCGAGGCTTATTCGACAATTTCTCAACCCCAGCCGCAAGGTAAACCCCAAACCCTAAGCCTCAGTAATCCCCAAACCGCTATGAGCACCAGACGCCCTACATCCCACAGCAAACCCTACGTCAGCATAAACACCGCAAGCTTAAAACTTACAGATCCTGTAACCCAAACTCTGTAAGACCCCCAAACTCTTGAGTAGCTTCAACACACACTCTAAACCTTGCATAATTGAACCTCTGAAAGCATAGTCTCCGCGAACCTACACCTACGACCTAGAGGAGGGCTTGTTCCGTTTTTTCGGGTTCAGGTTGGTACCCGTTTTATTCCTAGGTTACTCTTGGGTCTACAGTAGAAGCCCAAAAGTTGGAAACTTCATAGCCTCGATCCTTAATAGTAATGTATAGGGACTCCCAGCACTATTTGGCCTTAATCCGGTTTCCATCTTTATGGAGTTTACTGTAAACCCCTAAACCCTATAGATACCTTATGGATCCCTTTACAGGAACCCCCATGGATCCCCTTAAGGAGCCTTAAGAAACCCCTAAACCCCTCTGTTTCCATCTTTAGGGGGTTTTCTAAGCCAGAAAGTTGGAATATTATTATTCCTAACCCTTCTATGGTATATTATAGGGTATCCTACCATGATACCATATTCCAACTTTCTGGAGTTCCTCTGTAGACACTCCGTTGAGCCCTAAAAACCCAAAAGCTCTGAAGCTCCAATAACGCGCAAAGAGTCGGGTAGGGTTTAGGGTTTACGGTTTAGGGTTTTCCAAGGGTCCAAGTACCCAATAATCATATACTCTCCAAAATCCGAGCCTACATAACTACTATCCTAAAACCGAGTACCTGATTATTGGGTCCTTTGGACCCTTGGGGTTATTAAAAAAGATAAGATACCCTCTTAAAGGTGCTATACGGGCTACTACAAGGCATCTATAAGGGTACCGTAATGTAGGAGCCTTAATCATTAGAATAGGGCTTTGGGGCCCAGTATACTATAAGTATAATAAAGAGCCCCCAAAATAGTATGGGTAATTATTTAGGCCCCTACATTACAGGCCGAGTTCGAGCACTACCAGCTTATTGAAGATGCGGAGCGGGAGAAGAAGCGGAAGAAAGACTTCGAGGCCTCCAGGGTTCAGGGTTCCCAAACACCTATATAGCAGGATGTAGGGTTTCTGTATGGAGCCCTAAATATGGAATTACTATTATGTTATTATGATTTGGGAAAGTATCCCCCACCCAGGACCCTTAGGGCCATTAAGGGGGTTGAGATCAGGGGTTCCCGTAAGGGCTCCTTGAAAAGCTCAGGTATTAGGCTTCTATGTTTAGGGAGAGTTCCTTGAAGCGTCCCTTTTCGGGTTTAGGGTCTTAGGGCCGTTCAGGGGGCAGACCAAACGTATCAGTGAAAAGCGGAAACGAGCATGTACCGTTTAGGGGCAGTTTCAGGATTCAGGGTTTCATCATGGCTGGGTACAGGAACATGTCATGGTGCACCATGAGCACAGAAAACGGGTTCAGTGCATCGTTTCTCCTAACACGAAGCTTGTCAGAAGTGTCTAATGTGCGTCCATTCCTGTCGTGGTTTCAACACAATTGCATGCTGGGTTGAGTTCAACTTGCAATGACGACGGATGGAGCAGAGTTCGGGCTGTCGCTGGTGAAGCCGCAACAAACGGCAAGAGACATTCGACAGATGGGCGCATGAGTGGGGAACCAATTTGCAAAGCTAAAGAGACGCATCAGCCTCAGTTTGCGCCAACCTAGGAAGGAGCTGCATATCGTGCGGTGCTTTCCATAGGGTTGTCATTATCTGCGTGCGCTTAGGGCCTTTGGGTTTAGGATCCAAGGGTATTTTAGGATACAGGCTTCAGAGTGTTTCTTTGCTTTGGGACCAGACCCATCGCACCACGATGCGCAATATAGGGGCCTTAACAAGTTGAACTTTGAACAGGGTTTTGGGAGCTCCTATAGTAGAATAACACGACACCTATTCTAATTTTTGAGGCCCCTATATTATCGGAATCCATTTATACAATGTCTTCATTGATGCGTTGGAGTGAAGGGGCTCGCTCGTCTTAGGTGTGATGAGAAGGATTCGGATTAGGGTCTCCCATCACTCAATACTTACAAAACCTACTGAAGCTTTCTGATTTCTATACGGTCGACATATATTTCAGCTTAACGCCTTCACAAGCCCTAATCAACCGCTCGTAAGTCATAAAACTCTAAATTTTCCCAAACCCTGAGCCCTGAACCACATCCGTACACCCCTCATAGGTTAGCTTCCTCAAAGTGCCTCACACGGGGAGGAACTCCTCCCGACACCTCCGTGTTCCCTAAACCTTAAACCCTAAAGTGAAAGCCAGAAAGATGGAACATGATTATCCTAAACCCTTTATGGTGAATTATAGGGTATCCTACCCTGAAACCATATTCCAACTTTCTGGAGTTCCCTTTAAACCTTCAATTAAACCAGATTTAGGGTTTCTCATAGATCCCGAGACCTCGGTGTTCGACAGGATGCCGAAGCTGTTGCCCTCTTCGAGACAGAAAGAAAGCGCTTCAAGGAGGACACCAGGGACACCCGGTGAGCTTAAGGGTTTAGAGTACGAGGGTTTAAGGTGCAGGCTATACCTGTAGCCGAAAAGACCTACCTTTTTAAGGAACTATATCTAGAAACCATAATAAGGAACCCTAAAAAGGTAAGTCTTTCCGGTTACAGGTAGGGTCTTGGGCTATAGGATTAGGGTTTTGGGTTTAGGGACTCGGCCTTGGACTTCCGGTTTGGAGTTTAGGATCAGAGGAGGGGTTACACAGCATGGTCTATGCTCCATAATGCCCAGAGACTCCAATATCCCTTAATGAAGGAATATCCTTAAGTCATATTAGAGATCCTACTTTAATTTAAGCTATATTCCTTAATTCAGGGATATTGGAGTCTCTGGGTGCCTAAACAGGTCCTTGGAGCCGCGTGGCTCCGCACAGGAGAATTACTGGGTAATACTGTACTTGAAGGTAGGGATTACTACTCGGGTTTATGTCGTCCCAAGACGTCTCTCTCGGCACCTATTGCTTGGCATTATTTGGCATTGAGACTTAGGGTCTCGCCCCGATTGTTTGTTTCTCTCTCTCTCCCTCTCTCTCCCTCCCTCTCTCTCCCTCCCTCTCTCTCCCTCCCTCTCCCTCCCTCCCTCCCTCTCCCTCTCTCCCTCTCTCCCTCTCTCCCTCTCTCCCTCTCTCCCTCTCTCTCTCTCTCTCTGTCTCTCTCTCTCTCTCTCTTTCTCTCTCTCTCTCTCTCTCGGTATCTGTGTTTCTCTCGGTGTTTCATGATGCTCAGAGGACTCCATCTTCTTTCTGCACTGCATTGTGTACTTACGCCGCTTTCTTGGTTGCCACAAAGATGGCAGCACCTAGCGGCCTACGGTGGATGATATAAATCCTGCATGTCCTTAAGGACCCTGGACTATGGGAATTATGGTACATTCCATTGTTATGGGTCATGCAGGACTTATACCATCAGCAGTCGTGCTGGTACTGGTTCTCGACAGGTTACACCATCATTGCATCAAATGCCTTGTGGAATGACCCTGAACACCCAACCCTAAACTTCCCTAAACTTGTACTATATCTCAAAGCTCTACAATAGAAGCCCAAAAGTTGGAAACCCAATAGCTTCAATCCTTAAGAGTGAAAGAGGGGAACCCCAGCACCGACTGTCCTTAATCCGGTTTCCAACTTTTCAGGGTTCAATCTCTAGGACCACTTGGAGGGGCAGGCGACTTAGTAAGTAGCTTCTAAGTAGAGTTACAAGTACCCTAAATGGAGTTCCCCCAAGTATAACCCTACTTATAACCTACTTACTAAGTCCCCTGCCCCTCCAAGTAGACCCTAAGCCCTAAACCCTAAACCCCATAGGGAGCCCTGTAAGAACCCTTTAAGGAGCCCTATACATCCCTTTAAGGAACCCTATAGATCCCTTTAAGGAGCCCTTTAAGAACCCTTACTAAGTCCCCTGCCCCTCCAAGTGCCCTCCAAAGTCGGAAGGATGGCGGCGAAGAAAAGCCCTCAGACCTCATTTCCCTCATGAGGCGCAGAGGTTTAAAGTTTAGAGTTTAGGGGTTTAGGGGGGTTTAGAGTTTATGTCGGAATCCTCATAATTACTGTAGTCTCCTTAGGAATTGTTTATTATTTTACTATCGTTGTAAGGGGGATATAGTAACAGTATAATCCCTGCTATGTTCAAGGAATATTCCTTAATTAAGGGATGAGTCTCTGGCGCGTCAGGGCATTGTGGGAATCCTCATAGCTCAAGCAAGTACTTAAAGGATCATGGGACTTAGTAATTGGGGATTACGGGTCCCTTGAAGGGAACCACAGGGGGTACTATAAGGGCTTAGGAGGGTTCATAAAGGATCATGGGACTTAGTAATTCGGGGTTATAAGTAAGGCAACTACAGGAATTAGTTACATCACCAATTAAGGTACTTAGAACCCTACTTACTAAGTCCCATGATCTCCCTAGTGGAGGTGCCCACACAGAAAAGTTAGTCCAAAACCCTGGACGCCACAGCGACATAATTCAGATATCCCGCCATGGAGAGTTATTTGAGCCACGTATGCTTCAATGCAGAGAAGCAATGGCAGTTGTAAGGAACCCAACATGCATGTACCAACGACGTAGAAGGTGTAACCTGAAGAAGCCGCAAGACCAGCACGGCAAAAGCCTGACGTAGTCGGAGGATCATGAGACTTGGTGATTGAGTTTATGGTATATAGCTACATTTATGTTTACTTCTAACCCCAATTGAGGTACTCATAACCCAATTGCTAAGTCCCATGATCGTTTAAGTAATTACACTGTTTAATTAAGCTTTAGCCACTCACCGACGATGCACAGCAAGCTTAATTTCTCTCCAGCATCTTCATCATGGCCATGGTCATTATAGGGTTGAGGATTGGGGGTTTATCACCATAGGCGTTGTGGCTCGAGCTCGTTTTGTTGCCCCGTCACCAACTGGTGTTGGGGTGCCATACGAGCATTCCCAACCCCAGCGTAGTTCCACTGCGCGATTCGACACCCCCCTTGGCGGGGATCGGCGGGTCTTGGACCCTTGCTAGTCACTGCTGCTAAACCAGCTGACTATTCTGGAGGCGCTCTCCAGTTCTCTCCAGCCCGCTGTTTATGAAACGTGCGGGTACATACTACCCACTGGCGCCACTTTTTCTGGTGGGTGTGCTTTTGATCTACGTGGGTCTTCCCACGTCAACTTCTGTACAAGTTGGGCAAGAGGGCCAGCAGTCCAAGCTGGCATCGTCGGGCGCGCCGGGCGCGTGCCAAAGCGCGCCGGCGACTACGCCGAGGTCTTTCTTCCAGCAGCGATTTTGCGCTTTTGCTGCGCCACCACGGAAGCATGCCTCCGAAGCCCCAGACGGACAAAAACAAAGTGCCGAGCAAAGGTGGCCAGAAAGGCGACAACGTACAGGTCAGCCGTATAGACTTCGGTCTTCCCGCGGCGGTTTCCACCTCGTTACAGTCGATAGCTACCAGATCCACGCAGGACCTCTGGGGTGCCACGGCCTTTACAACGGAGGACGCCACGGCAGAACAGTTAGCTCAAAGACGAGCAAATGCCATCTCGAAGCTCTCCAAGCGCTTGTCAGGGAATGTACGCGCAAAAGAGGAACTTGGTGGTGCCCTGTTTCAATGGTGTTCTATTATCGGACAACATCTTCTCGGTTTGGTCGGGCGGGCGAGAGCTATTTGCACGAAGATCGACGAGGACACCCTACAGGCGGTTCAAGACATGAACGAGGCCTTGGTACACCAGCCATCTGCCGCATCTCTAGAGAAAGTGACCCAAGCGACCTCCTCTGTAGGCAAGGTTTGGAGCGAACTTCAAGAATTAGAGGTTCAACGCATTGCCGCAGCTCTTCGGGCATTTGCAGCAGTAGGCAGTCCAGGTGCACTTGCGACAGTAGCTTCCGCAGGACACAGAACCGTACCGACAGTGGCGGGGCCAGCACCGATTACAGGCACAATTCCGGTCTCAAGTGGCGTTGTTGCAGGTGCTTCTCCCGAGGTCAGCCTTATAGACCGGCAGTCGGAAGCCAGTTTTGGAGCATGGGGCAACACGTTGCCAGAGGTAGGCGGTTTCCATCAGGACCCCTTGTCTGTAGGTGCACAGTCCTCCGGCATTCGTCCTGTTCTTCATACGCTGGAAGCCGCACCTCCTGCACCCTCCGTACCAGGTCGATGGCGCAAGAGAAGCGGCACTGGTGTGGAGAGGCCTTCCAAGAGTCCCAGGCGGACAACCGCGCCCGATGCACCGTGGCCCAGCGAATCCAGTGGCCGTACTCCAGAAGCACTCAGGAGGCCGACGCAGACTGCACTAGGACCGTCCGAGCCCGAGTTAATTCCGGACGAGTCACCTGTCGAGGTAACCTGGCGCATTGCTTGGCTTGCCCTGTTGCGTTTCGCGGTCGAGCAAGGACAAGACCCAGTCGGAGAGTTGTCAGCCAGTGCCGAGCAAGATGCGGCTTTGCCATTGTGTACCGATGCTCAGGCAGCCGAAGCTACCATACAGGTAGCCGATCAGGTGTGGCAGCAACTCTTAGAAGTCGTCCGTCAGCCTACCGAAGTACCATGTGCTGCCCTCCACGGTGCTTTACGCGAGTTGTTATATCGGGTGCGGCAGTGCCCGGTAGTCCTTCCTCAACTACCACAAGGGGTTCTGGTTGCAGCACACGTTTCGGTAGGTGGGCTGCTGGATCCATTCGCATATGCCCCCGCAACTGTGCAGGAATGGCTATATCCCAGCCAGCTGGTCGAGATGGGAGGGCCTTTTCAAGATTATCTGCCAACAGAAGCCTCAGTCAATCCGCGTGTGCAAGCGGTACTGCGTCTGCCATGTCCGTACCACCCGCTCCCTCGCGAGCACAGCACCTCAGAACTCGAGTGACCTTTTGGGCTGCATGCTCTGAAGTTGCTGGAATCAGGCTGGGTCTTGCATTCGGGTTGTACTGCATGTTGCCGTGGCTTCTCCTGGTTCACGGCATTGGCGTTCTACTTTCCCGGCGCCATTGGCGTGTGCCTTGCGTATGTCCTGGCTTATGTGGTTGGGCTTTTCCTGGGATGTGTGCTCCCTTCCCCTTGCCTTTTGACTGGTTTGCGAAAGGGTGCACATTTGGGGTTGGCTCCTGCCTCCTTCTGCATGCGGTTCTCTGCCGGGCTGGTTGTGCCTTTTCCAGGAGGCTCTTTCCTAGCCGTGAATCGCGTCGTCTGCTTAAGACCTGTGGCCTACTTTGGCTCTGTTGCACACCTGCCCAAGCTGTCCAGATTTGGCCCGTTGGTCAGCACCGTGGTCAGGCTGTGTTCTCAACCGGCAGTGTTCCAGCCACCACGAATGTTGCTGAGCTTGCCCCGGCCCGTTTCGCTGGTGCTCCCTCGATCAGGACAGCTGCATCATGTCGTCCCACCCCGCTGCGGGATATAGGTGTTTTTACGCCTGCATGCCCTCTTAGCCCGCAGATTCTCCATGTCGATGACCGTGTTCACGATGCCCTGCTGTTCCGTCAGGTTTGTGAAGTTTTCGGCTTACACGCCTCTGCTTGGCATTGGCGGCATGTGGTTGAAGCTCTTCCGTCCCTGCCACCTGAGCAGTATGTTCTGTCACCAGTTGGCTTGCCCTGGCACCGCGTCCTGCTTCCTGTCGACCTACGTCCTGTTGGAGGTTCTGTCTCGCTTGTCGAAACAACCCGTAACCAGCCTTGTGGGCAAATTGTTGCCGATGCTGCCGCCCAGCAACAGCTGCAGCTGCGTGACCAGGATGTCCTCTGCCGAACATGTGGTACCTGGTTTGTTCCCCATGCCTTTACTGGGCTTCTTCCTCGTGGGGACACTCTGCAGGTCTGGCCTCTTTCTCGCCACCAGCCTCTTCAAGGTGCCAGCAGAAGCGGTTCTCTGTCTCCTAGATTGTCTCTGGAAGACGTGTTTTCCACCAGCCTTTCTCTGCCCAGCCCGGCTGAGCTTGCCTTTCACGAAGAAAGTGGTGCCAACGCTGTTGTGATGTTTCCCAACGGCCTGCACTTCACCTTCGCTCCTGCTTTTGCAGATCATCTTTCCATTCGATCCACTGTTATGGGCAGATTTATGGCAGACGTCACCAGTGGTGCTCAGGACTTTAGTCATTTTGCACGTGTCCTGCCTCCTCTTGACCGTCTCCCAGCGGTCCAGTTTGTTGCCATGCTCTGCACTGAGGGTCAATTCCCCGGGATCATTGACTTCAGGCCTATAGGCGGCGGCATCACGGTTGCGGCCATGTTTCGGAATGCCCATCCTGCTTCTAGGCTTAAAGATGTTATTGAGAGTCAAGGTGAGCCTGACCCCAGCCGCAGTGTTATGGAAGCACTGGCACGGGGCTGTCTCTCTGTGCTGCACCGCGAATGTATTGTCGATCCGTACAGTCCGCTTCAGGCAGCGGTTCCGGCCCCACTCGTCATTGTACGGCGCCGCGAGCAGGCAACACTTAGTGAGAATGAGCCCTCGAGTCCAGCTACGCGTCACTCTGCGATGTGGGCTCTGATCGGGGTGACTCTCTTCCGGGTTCACGGCAGTCGGCTCATTCTTGGGGGCATTTTGTTACATCTCAGCCTCGCTGCTTTCCTTCCGCCTGAGGACCCAGCGCAGGTCCATGATATCCCCATCCAACAAGAAGCGACCAACGCTTCCCTATTTTGCCCGGGGGACAATCTGGCCGGAATAACCGAGCACCATCGCCTTACGCAACGCCTTCAGGTCTTTAGTGATTGGGAGTTTGTTGACACCAGGCGTAGTCTAGGTCTCGACCAAGTCCCGTCACGTAGATACCACGTTCGGGTATTTGCGTCGTCCGGCATTCATGGTTTCTACGTCTCTGGCACACATTCTGCCAGAGATCTCAGGCATGCGCTTTTACGAACCAGCGGGGTCGCGGGGAAGAGGTTCCCTGTGCCTGTCCTAGCCCCCTTAGGTACTAGGTATGTTGCTTTTGTTGCCCCTGCCCGCGACAATAAGTATGTCACAATCCTTGTTGATGGAGGTGGGCCTTTTGTCTGCTTAGATGTGCCGATAGTGCAGTCGGGTCAATATATACTTGAAGCCTTGTCCCTGCTGCACCCTGGCAGATCCTACAGGCTAGGGGATGGTACTGTCTTCCCGCTACGACATGGTGATGTCGTATTTGCACATGTCGACCATCCTGAGCCGCCTGTTGAGGTTGGGATGCTGGCAGTGCCTAGCGATCGCCACGATGCCAGTCAGTGGCTTCGAGCCAACGTGTATGTTTTCGTCACATCCCATGACAAAGGCCTTCAGCGTGTCCAGGTGCCCAAGACCTTCTCTAAGAGTCAGCTTGAAGTCGGGCTCCGTGAGTGGTATGGCCCCTCTCGTTGCGGGACCGTAGGGCTCATTCGTCTGCCCATTCCTTCCCCAGCGGTGGATCTCTTTTGTCTTCCATGCTGTCGTTTCAGCACACTTACAGTGATGTTGTCTGACACCGCCGATTGTGAGCTCCGTCCCCTTGTGCAGACAGTCTCCAGTGGTAGCGATGAGCCGCCTACCTTGGCCTGTATTACACATGCCCCGCCACCGCTTGGCGGCTTCTGGTCCGATGTACTTAGCCGCAGACCTGTTATCTTACGGCAGCTCGAACTTTCGTCGGCTCAAACCAAGTCTGGGAGCCCTTTTCTATTTGTGCATCTCGGGCTTGACTTATGTCGAGCATACGACCAAGGATGGCGAGTGCGGCAAGTCACAGTCCCGCCGTTGCTTAATCTTGGCGCTCTTCAGCCGGAGTGCTTTGATGTACCAGCTGGCACATCCATTGGAACTGAGCAAGGCACCCAGACTATCCCTCTGCACTGGCCTCCAAATGCGCGGCCTTCGCCAGCTGGAGCTGTGTTGCAAAGGCGAGCCGCTAAGGAGTGTCTTGCTGTTCCAGGCTTCTTCCCGCCAGGACCGCTCCAAACCCTAGCGTGTCCACACCTGGGAGTTACTTGCCATGTACCATGCCCTGCGGGTCACTTTCCATGGGCCGTACGGGTAGGAGAATGGGTCAAGGCGGCATGCACTCGTGCAGTCGAATGGCAGGATGTCATGCGCATTGGCGGTCTCACTACTTGGGATCTTCCCGGGGTCGAGCTTCATGGCCAATCCGTCATTTGGAAATGGCCGGGCGAGGTTTATTCGCTAGCCGGTGAATGCGGGCACCTCCTACAGGACGGGCATGACCCCTTCGTGTGCGATGTCTATCGTGATACCGCGGCTGCTATACATTCCGCTTGGCAGCGAACTGCCTCACACCTTGCTTCAGGAGGGGTCGGTGTAGTGTTAGGCGGTCGCAGTACGGGGTCACGTGCAGGGCTTTCTGTCCTCGTTAGGTCCTTCCTTCTGCTTAGTGCTTATGTGGTTGCGGCGGTTAGGGAGCCCTCCTCCCCCGATCACGACGAGCCTCAGGTCACGCCAATGCAGGATAGTACTCCCGCCTCCGACATAGCTTGGTGCTACATACTCTCTTGTCAGACCACGCATTGCAGTGTTGACGTTTCTGACCTATGGAAGTATTGCAACCTGCAGGCTCCTGCCGACGTTATAAGGATCCATGTATGGTCTCCATTTCAAGGCCCCTCGACTTTTGACCATTCCAAGGACAGTCCCTTGGACACCTTTCGCACTCTGCTGCGGGAAGCCGGACACAGAGCCGAGACCAACACGCTTCATGTTGCCTTCGACACCCTGCCGACTCAACTGGATGTTGTTTCTTGCCCGGCTGAAGGGCCTGCGTGGTGGATTGTCCGGGACGGCATGTCCCGTGAACTCCTGCGCCCGGTTGCTCCATGGTACGAAGCTGACGGCCGTCGTATCCTTACTGTCAACTCACTCGGCCAAGCACAAGGCCTCACGTATGGAGCTGCTGCTGGCGCTCTGCATAGGCTTGCTACGGGTGTTCGTGCTGCCTGCACTTACCCCTTGTCACGGATCATTGGTCATCTGTCTGCTAGCGAATTGGTGTTCACGGAAGTTGCAATTGGGTCCTTTGCTCTTCAGCTTCGCTCTTCCGGCCACGTGTTTCTTGCGCTTTCCCTCTTGCACCTAGGTCTGATCCCGGGGCACGCGATGCAGCAAGAAATCGCGCTACGACCTGCAGCTAGTCAGAGCACCGGTTGGGGCGCCGGGCAGGCTCCCGCACCCACTATTGCCCGTGTCTGGACGCACGCACTTGCTGCCCCTACCGTCTTGCCCTTCATTGCTGCCCCTGATCCCGTTGTTATGGCGCAGTGCGTTGCAAATACTGCCAGAGGTGTCACAGCGATAGGCGATTTCGTGTGGACCACTCCTCAGATCGTGCAGGGCGTGGCCCATCTCCTGCATGTTCCATCTGGTTCGGCCCCTCCCATGGTTTACTGGCTCTTACATTACCGGGGACGAGGCACGGTATATGGGGCAGTCGGTGCTGTCTTTGATTGGCAGCAAATTGGACAAGCGGCCGCTGAAGATTTTGGGCTGCCCTTTTTCTCTCAAGGCCAATTCGCGGTCTGGCATGGAGGACGAACCATCTCATATGGTACCCAAGTCCCCGTGCCTGTTCATGGCACAATCATCACCTTGGTCCGGCAGTATCCGGCAACCGCTTCAGGGCTCTCAGCGTGGGATACGCCGGCAGGAGTGTCATTGGCCTACCACTTCGATTATGATATCTGTCGAGGTCCCTGTGGTGAAGTGCCACTTCTAGGCGAGGTGGATTCCCGCGTCCGACCGGCTGCTCGAACTTCCTCAGAGAGGCCAGTGCCAGTTGAACCCACAGATTCCGGACAGCCGGCTTCTATAGCACCGGATCGTAGCCTGGTCCGTCAGGTTAACGAGGTCAGCCATCAATTGACGATGCTTACCGCCCGTCTTGAATCTGCTGGTATCTTGCAAGGGTCCGACACTACGGAGGCTACCTCTGCCCCACATTTCCGAGGCCAGGAGGAGCCACAGGATAGTGCTGCGCTGGGTGCCCTGCATTTTGCGTCGAAGCCACTGTTTTTGGCCTTAACGGTGCTCTCAGTTGCCAAAGGTGGTTACCCTACCCTCGGTCTCATGCTTTGTTTGCCTGGAGTTTGGGGAGATGGCGGTAGTGATTCCTCGGAAGAACCACAGCCACCGAGCTCACCCTCGCTCACAGCTGTCACCGCGCCTACGCCTGAAAATGAGCTAGTGGGCACGGGAGGAGCTGATCCACATCTAATACGGCCGAGCGACGACCCGCTTGCACGTACAGGTGCTCCCATGCTTGAATGGCCTAGGGCCCTTCCTGTGTTTCGTCAAGCGGAGATCCCTCAGCTCCAAACCAGGGTTAGTGCCTTCATGAGCGAGGTCGATGACCGCAGCAACCGCCTCTCTCCATTTTTACCGGCCGGATGTCCCCTTGTTATACATAATCCCTTCACAGAGGCCGAGCAATGTTCTGTGCAAACACAGCTCACAGGCTCTGGACAGATCTTTCGGTTTTTCTTGCAAGACTTTGCGCAGCGTCGAGGATGGCAACCTATCGTCCCTGTGCAACCACAACCGGATGAGTCGGCTATCCATCTCATACCGGCAGCTGCAGACCCCCGCCTGGCTTCTGTAGTTCTGCGTACCCCTCAGGGCTTGCAGCCGATGTGTCTTCCGCGGTCGTTGCCTGCAGGGCCGAGCCGAGCCCTTACACTGAACGGTCGGTTCGGGCGCATTCGAGAGCCATACCCTACTAGGAGGATCACGGACCGGTCACTTCAGCTTCGCGATGGAGACTGTTTGCTGCTAGATCAAGGCCCCTTTGGCCCTCCTCCGCCCACGCCCGTACGTTCAGCCGGGCGATTGTTGGCCCCGGGGCTTCTCACGTTGGGTGTCTCTTCTTGGCGATACCTCGCCCTGTTTACCGTCTGGTGGTGGTTTCCAGTCAACTCCATGCAACAGCTTGCAGTTGTTCCAGTTGCTCGAAACCGGCCTGGTCCAGAAGTCCGCCGCTTTCCATGGCGGTCCCCCCCTCAAGACCGCACCTTCCAGGCAGTTGCGGGCCAGGCCAGGATTCGCTGCACTCTTCTCTGCCCACTCACAGGTCTGCAAGGCGTCTATGAGGTTCCGTCTACCAGCACTTATGCCGAGGTACGCCAGCACTATCAAGAGGTCTACGGCAACTGGATTGTTGACGTTGTACCCATTTGGCCCACACCTCGATTTGATCGCCTTGTTCTTGTGCCTGAACTCGCGGCGGGCCCGCGTTGTGTGTGTGTAGCTGCCCGGTTTGGCCATACCACGCGTGCTTTTCTTCTGCCCGGGCGTTGCTCCTTTGAATGCCTCGCTCGTGGCCTCCAATATCTGTCGGGGTGGACTGACTTCAGTCTACGCCTGCCCCCTGCTTTGCACAATCAACTGCTCCTAGACCCCAGTGTAGAGTTTCAGCTTCGCACTGCTGATGTGCTTGTGGCAGAATCCGATACCATTGCCCTCGACGCAGCCGCGACTCACGTCTCACTAGTCCTCCCGGATCGGATTCCCTGGGACGAGCCGTTTACTACAGTCACTGCAGAGCTTGTCGCTGTGTGGATGCCCGATACCCGCTTCCCCATTTTTACTAGTGTACCTGCCGGATCTGTGTGGCTGCCCAGCACTGGCACTTTCGAGGGTCCTTTCAGTGCAAGATACCCCGGGCGTTGGATTCCCGTTGTCTGGCATCCTGCGCCTTGCGTTCACCTTGTCCGAGCTGCTGATCGGCGCGGACGAGCTCACATTCTGCATGAAAGCCGCGATGGTGTCTTTTCTGTGAGTTTCACCTGTCGTACTTCGCGGGTTGAGCTTGCCGAAGAATTTCATACGCTGCCTGAACATGTCTGGGTATTAGGTGCCACACCGACGGATACTGACGCCCCACTGGTTTTGCGGGATGGCGACATTGTCCTAGACTCCTACTTATATGAGGAGCCTGGCCCCGAGGTCTGGCTTATCGGGGCGGCAGACCGGCCGTGTGTAGCAGTCTGGATACCACTCCTGGTCCTCAGCGCGGCCTTTCGTAATCCCAAACTTTTGAGCATTCTGGCTTTTTCCCAGCTGGGGCACGCCACTAGACGCAGTCGAAGCCGTGCAGCTAGTTCTGCTGCCTCTTCTGCGGATTCTGAGGCCTCTCTGAGTCCTCGCGCTGGCGGCTGGCGACCCGAATTACCGAACCCCATGCATGAGGTACTCTCTCGAGGTCGTGCACACTACTGCATCCTTTCCCCATTCCATGGTGGCGGTCGACCGGGCTATTTCTTGCGCGACACTACTGGCGAAGACCTTGACGATCGTGTGGCTAGGTTTTGTGGGTCATGGAGCCGGCACCACATCCTGCTTGGCTCGGCAACGTCGCGCCAGCCCCTTGTTCTTATACCTGGTGGCTTGGATGTGTTCGCTACTGTAGTTGTGCATACAGCAGATGGTCGTTATGCCTCCCTTGTGCCGCGACAGTTTTCCTGGAGGGAGCTGGAAGCGTACTGCCGGGCTCGACACCCTCACGGCTGTCATCTTGTATCTTCGCCTGCTTTGGCGCGCTTTCGAGCTCTTCCCAGTCTTAGCATGGGATTGCGAGACGGTGACAATTTCCGCTGGGGGCTCGCCGATACGCACACCCATGCGCATCCCCCACCATTTGTGAGGCACCGTTATGTGCACTGGCTCCCACACCTTGACGGCTGGCACCTCTCTTTCACTATTAAGCACGGTGCTTGGGTGTTTGTTTGGCAGCCCGAGGGTGATCCACTCTTCCATTGTGAGCGCCATTGGGTTCCCGCAGGCAGTCGGTGGATCCCAGGGAGCCTGCAGTTTTGTCGACCGCGGTCTGCACCTGGCACTGAGCGCTGGGTGCCGGTCTCTCACTATGACGGCAGGTGCCATTTTGTGCAACAGTCTCCAGCGGGGCACGCTCATGTGTTGCTCCACCAACCCTACAGTGGACACGAACCGGAGTGCATGCTCTTAGAGCCCCCTTGCGCTGTTGACTCCATACCACATGGCTGGCAGCTTGCTCCGCAACTCAGGAGGCGGTCCGGCTCTGGCCCCCTGAGGGACGGCGATGTATTGGTGCCCTCTCCACTGCCGCCAGTGATTCCAGCGCTTACCGTCCTTGGTGCATCTGCTGCAGGACTGCGCTCCTCATATGCGGGCTTGCTTTTTGCTACGGTCCTGGGCCTCAGCCAACACGCTGACGCCATGTTTGCACCACCAGAATCGCAGCTCCAAGACCCGGTTAGGGTTGGCAAGTTTCCTTGGCGGCTTCCTGACCCCGACCGTGCTTTGCACGAATCCATCTCTGAGGGTCAACTTTGTCAAGTTCTCTCGCCGTATGGTGTAGTCGGTGATCCGGCGGTTGCGCTCGCCTCTGGCGACACTGTTGACGAGGTACGGATGGCCCTCACTGGCTCCGAGCCCATCTGGTCGCAGGACATCGTGCCGGTACAGCCCGCGCCCCTGCCTGGGCACCTTACTTTTGTGCCAGCTGCGCCAGCTCTTTCCTTAGCCTGCGTGCTTGTTGTGTCAGTTGAATGGCATCTTCCCATTCTTATTCCCAGCCGTGCTGACCTCACCTGGCTGCTCGGGTACCTGCGCAACCTGTCGCCCGGTCCCATCTTGTCGGTCCGTGCGCCGGTGAACGCACAGGCGGCCGGTGCAAGCTCTAATGAAGCTATCCGGTGGAGAGACGGTGACCTCATTCTTGCCTTTTCTACCGATGCTGCCCACAGTGCTATTGATATTCCTGTGTTCCGTGAAGAAGCCCAGGCCGCTGCCCGCGTTCGCCATATGGCTCTGTGGTCCTACGATTTCCAAGTTGATTTTGTCCTCTCTGTCGTCCTATGGCGGCCAGGCCATCGCCCTGTGCAGGCGCATGTCCACCGGGGAGAACACTGGTCAGCCGAGGCCCGTACATTTACCGGGACATTTCACGTTCGTTACCCCGGGAAATGGACCCCGGTCGCATGGGCATACGATGACCAGCCCCACCTGTGTCTCCAGACCGGCGACAGCGACTTGCGTAATATCATTATCGAAACCTTGACTGGGGACCAGCTTCGCGGTACGTGCCACACTGTCCATGCGATGGCCAACGCTGCTACATGCGGCATCCTGATTGACCGTGTGGATGACCCTTGCTTTCTTCTTGGGGTCTCTTCGGATAAGGGTTGGGCCGAGTTGCGACACGGAGACATTGTTCATTTTCCCCCGACAGATGGGTCTCACAGCGCCCACCTTTTCTCACGGGCAGGGCTGTTGGTTTCGCTCCTCTTTGCATCGCGGCCCTCCTTACTGCTTGCAGGAATCTGTTTCCTTTCCGTGCCTCAGTGGATGGGGGCTGCTGCTGTCCCAGTTGATATGCCGGCAGATCGACCCGCCCCTTCATGTCTGTGGTGTCCCTTTCAAGGGCGCTGTGGGGTTTCCCCTTTTCCAATCGGCACCTCGCTAGTGTCGGGAAACACTGTCCACAGCTCTGAAGTGGCCCCCGTTCTTCCAGCTCCACTCTTCACGGGTGAGCATAGCGTGCTGCGTCTCGGAATTGCTCAATGGGCTACTATCCTTATGGTAGGACCGCCCGCGCCTCGGGCATTGATTCTGCCATCTAGGCTCCTCTACGAGTTCCTGATGCAAGTGGCTCGCCAGCATTATGGTCCGGTATCCTGCCTCGCAGGTAACCACCCTTTGCTGGGCCAGTCCGGTAGCCACATCACATTGCATGATGGTGATTGTCTTAGAGTAGTACAAGAACGTTGGCAACCATCTCTGAGCCTAGCTTTTGGGCGGACACACCTCACTTTCCGAGAGGCCAGTAAACACGGCTTTTGGAGTTGTCCCCTCGAGATCATCCGGGGTGGCTGGATCTTGTTATGGCGGGGTCCTGGCGAATTGTTCCGTATCCTCAAAGCCGTCCCTGGCCAGACTTGGTATCCTCCGCTCGGCAGTTTCCTTCCGGCAATGCTTCATGAGACGGAAGGATGGTGGCCCTGGGGTCTACCTTTTGAGGACGAACATGTAGTCCATATGCTACCGCGAGATCGAGCGTTGCTTCAATCCTCGACATGGGAGGCCAGCATTGCAGCTGACTCTGGCCTTCAGACATTTAATGTCCCCGTCAATAGCAGAGGCTCCCGAATAGTGCCATCTACACCTGGCCTCGGACTTCTTTTCCTGATCGGGTCTGGTCTGAGTGCCTCTCCGGGCTACGCGCGCCGCATCGGCACCTTGCTCGCCCTCGTGTGCACGGTTTGCTACCTTGCAGCTTGGGGGGCTCCACCAACATGGCACCGACAAAACGATGATACCTGGCATCTTGATGTGCAGGACGTTTGTAACTTGCAGGCTCACCTGCATCAGGGCTGGTGGGCCGAGGGCCTTGCCGATGAACTCCCCAGTGGACTTCCGCCAGCGTATCATCTTGCTTGGCAATTGGAACCTAGTTGGCCAGGAGGCCCTCCTGACTCCCTGCTAATTGCCACAGACGGTAGCGGCCTTGACGGAGGTTCGTGGGCCTTCCTTGCTTGGGGATTCGCGCGCGGGCGATGGTATCGCCTCGGGTGGGCGGCCGGTTCCTTGCACGCCACTCCTTGGCTTCCATCAGTCGACTGTCACAGTGGTGGCCTAGCCACATCCTACTTTGCCGAGCTAGCTGCCCTTCAGTCTGCGGGCCACTGGTGTGCTGCTATGCTTGACCTGTGGCAACTGCGGATGCGATCACGGCCATGCTCGGTCTCTGTGGTCGTTGACAACTCTAGCGCCATGCAAGCGGCGGCCGGCACAGGCGCGGCGAATGGCCCTGCGCCCCAGCGCGCTAGAGCTGTATGGCAGGCCGTGCAGGCCCGGATCAGCACGCATTTTCGCCACGTGCATAGTCATGTAGGCATTAAAGTTAATACCCTTGTTGATGCACTTGCCTCTGCCGCCAGTAAGGGACTCCTTGACGACTGGATGCGGTCGGGCCCTTTTCAATCTTGTAAAGGGCACCCTGCCGATCTTTATCAGAGTCTCTGGCTAGTTCCAAGAGCTAGCATGCATCAGGGTCGACCCGTGGTCATCATGCGAACAGGTGCATCTGCGTGGATACCCCCGCCTGAGGCATTGCCAGAGCAAAAGGCTCCACCGGCGGCGCGCCGCCCACAGGATCTGCACTTGCTTACCGCAAACATTCAGTCCATCAAAGATACCCGCTGTAACCCCTTTAACCCAGCTGGGCATGGAGCACGTCGTCAATACCTCCTTGACCAACTCACCCGCCTTGGCGCGCACGTAGTTTGCCTCCAAGAGACTCGCGCCCCAGCCGGTCGCTGGAGTACCGGTGGATGGCTCTCTTGGCGGTCAGGCGGTTTGAAGGGCCAGTACGGATGTGAGGTCTGGGTCCGTCAAGACCAGGTCCGGCCTTTGTTGCAGCTAGCGGATTTTCGCATCCTCGCTGCCGCTCCGCGCTTCCTGATCGTGTCATGCACTGACCCCCGGCTTCCGCTCACTATTTGCTCCGCGCATGCACCGCACGCAGAGCGGCCAGCTCATGAAAGCACTGCGTTTTGGCAAGAGTTACGCAATGCACTCCAGCAATCCCCTAAGGGTCGCGGTCTGGTTGTTGGCATCGATGCCAACGGCGACTTCTGTGCCCAAGACGAAGGCGGCTGTCTTATCGGTACCCACATTGCCCGTCACGAAGCTACCTCTAACGACGAGCACCTTTTCGAATTTGTGACTTCGCTTGGCCTCGAAGCCCCTGCCACCTGGGAAGGCGTACAGGTTGGAAAAGGATGGTCATGGGAACATACTGGAGGCAAGCGCAAGAGGCTTGACCATCTCCTTTTTGGAGTTGGGCCCTGGACCCATGGCTCGGCGAGCCAGGCGTGGGACTTTGACATCGTTAATTCGCAGCGCGATCACCTTCCTCTACGAGTTCTCTCCACTCTCCAACCTGCGGTGCCGGCTGGACGAAAGACCGTCACTCGTCACAGTACAGCTGATGCCGTCCGCCGCGATGGCACCGCACTCTGGCAACGTGTCACAACCCTGTCGGCCGCTGCACATGGCAGTGGACAGCGTGTTGACCAACTTGTTCGTGAGCATGGTAGCTGGGTACGGGGTCTCGCTCCCAGAGCACCTCTCTCACCTCGGCAACCCTACATACAGGCCCGCACCCTGGTCTGGCTGCATCAGCTGCGAGATTGGCGAAGTCAGACCCGGGCAATCCAAGCTACCGTCCGCCAGGCAGCCCGACGCCTAGTTCTTCGTCGGTGGGGTCGCCTCCGCAAGCTTGACCGGGCCAATGCGTACGTCCAGTATCGGCATAGCCGTTTGCTCTACGAGGCGATGAGGCTTCAGGAAGGGCGTCTTCAAGCGCTCGCGCATCTCAACGCTCGCAAAGACAAACAAGCACACTTCTTGAGCCTTACAGCCGCTGCAGCTGATCGATGGCACGCTGAGGGACGCCCTTATATGAAGCCATCACTTCTCTCCGGTGGGCTTCTCGGCGCGCAGCCGAACGACGGCAAGTCTCTGCTGCGGGTGGGTATGACATAGAAGCAGCCCTTGAAGAGCAGTTCCGCAGCCAAGAGGCTGCGTCGAGGGTGCCACTTCCCGCCGTTGGTCGAGTCGTCTTGCCTTGGCTCCAGGCGCCAGCTCCGCCTTGCTTTGTTGCTGCTCCTTCGCTTCTTGAGGCAGAGGCGGCATGTCGACGGCAGAAGAGCAACAAAGCGCCTGGCCCAGATGGTATTCTTAACGAATTCTGGAATGGCTTTCCAGTCGAAGCGGGACGATGGTCATGGGAGGTGTTTACGCGCATTGCCCTGACTGGCAGGGAACCGCTGCACTTTAAGATTGCAATTTATTGTGCTCTCTACAAGAAGGGCCCAGCGGCCCTTCCGCAGAACTACCGCGCAATTGCGCTCCTCAATGGCGTTGCCAAACTGTGGCATGGACATCTCAGACGCACAATTGGGCACAGCATTCTGCGTGGTTACGATTCGGCACAGCTGGGAGGTCGACCTGGCATCCCGGTCGGCTTCGCGATCGCAGCCTTCCGCGCTGTCACAGACTTGTGCGTCGCAGCGCAGCATTGCACAGCCGCTCTCTTTATTGATGTCCAGGCTGCTTATTATGAAGTCAGTCGCAGCCTCATCTTCTCGGGTGATAATCTCGAAGAGCAGCATGCCGCCAGGATTGCCTCTGAACCACACCTTGCCCGTCTGTCTGCTGCTCTCCGCCAACACGGCGCTCTAGCTCTTATAGGTGTGCCCGAAGATGAACGTAGTTTACTACAAGACTGTGTAGCCTACTCGCATTGGAGGCTTGCAGGTTCTGACCATGTGTTTTTGGCATCCAAAGGCTCTCGACCAGGAGATGGCCTTGCTGATATTCTTTTCGGCGCCCTTTTCGCCGTCGCCCTCCGCCACATTCGGCGTGCTTGCTCAGCAGAGGGTATCTCGCTTCAGGCGGCTGGCAGCTACATAGGGGTCACGGAGTCTGTCTTGCCAATTGGCTGGGCTGATGATCTCGCGATTTTGGCGGACTTTCTGTCGCCTGCGCAGCTGCGAGATCAGTTGCCACGTTTTGTGACGATTGCAATCACCACCCTCGAGCTCCTTAATTTACGGATTAATTTAGGGGCGAGTAAAACTGAGGTTATGGTTGACATACGTGGCCCGTCTGCTAAGCAAGTCCGCGGTGAACTGCTCGCCGCGCCGGCTTTGCTGCACCTTCCTACCGGCCACCAAGTTCGGCTTTCACCTGAATACCGGTATCTCGGGGTGATTTGTACTCCACGGGACACCGGCCGGCGCGACACCGAACTCTGTGCACAACGAGCCCACGCCGCTTGGTCTCACGCCAAAAGCTTATTAGCTTGCCCTACGCTCCATTGGCGTCTCAAGCAAGCGTGGGTCGCAGGCAGGGTGCTCCCCGCTGCCTATGCGACGATTGGCACTTCCATCGCCACCTCGGCACGAGCTTTGAGCCCTATCACCGGCTTCTTTGACCGGGCTGCGAGGCAGCTGGTCGCTTCTTGGCGTTATGGCCATCTGCTAACAAAGCCTGCTCTGACACTGTTGCTTGGCTTGTCTGCACCTGACGATGCATATTGCATCGCACGAGTTCGCCTGGCTGTTCAGCTTCTGACTCGTGCGCCTGACTGTGTGCGTCTTTTGGTCGACGCTACTTGGAACAGAGCCACGCCTTGGGGGCAATTGCTTGTTGAAGCTTGTCAAGAGCTCGCTCACAGCCTTCCCGGAGTTTATGACCGGACACGAGTCACCACTGTCTATGTGCGGAGCCATGCTGGCCTTCTCCTTAAAGCCTGCCGGCACCTGAGCAGATACGGATCCGCATATCGGGCACTGCATCTGCTATGGCAGGAAGTTACCCTGCCTCGGGTTACTCGGGTTGTAGGGCGTCGTAGCCCTAGCGTCTGTCACATTTGCGGCCAGTGCTTGCCCAGCGCCCAAGCACTTGCTGCACATATCCATCGCAAACATTCTGTTGTTAACTGCCTCACACAATTTACGTGTGGCACAGTGTGCCTCTGGTGCCACGCTGACCAGCACTCCACTGATAGGCTTAAGTACCATCTCAAGCTTACTGGCTGGGTGGTACACTTTTACACTTTTTGGGTACATGTTACTTTAAGTATAGGGTTTGTAGGGTTTGGGTTCAAAACATGTTGGTCATGTTGGGGCGTCTAGAAGCTTAGAAAAAAATTGGGGTTTGGAGGGTTCAATTCCGGTAAGGACTTGGGTTTAAGGGTCTAGGCTGGCCTTATGGCTTTGAGCTTGTATGGTTTAGGCTGAGGGTTTAGGCTGAGAGGGGAAAGGATCGGTTTCGATTATTGTACAACATCTCATTATAAAGAAGTCCCTATTTATATCTGGAAGCCCTGATCATTTCTTTGAGCCTTAAGGTCTTTTCGGCTCCGACATGTAAAAAAAGCTATAAGCCGCAACTCCAAAGTAAGCATAAGTCATACATCCCGATAATCTGATACCTCTCTTCATCTTTGCTTCCCAACCAGGCCCTACTTACAAACAGGATAGTTAGTGTGCATTTGTACCTTAAACCCTAAACCTAAACCCTAAACCGACTCCGCGCTCTGATCATCGCGATCTCCGTGGCTTCCGGGAGGCCGCGACCTCAAACGGGCTGTGTTTGAAGGATTAGGAGAGAAGGCACTTAAACAGATTATAGACTTAGTAGGCTCAGACTTTTTGTAGTTGTAGGAGCAATGTAGATACTGGACTAGGACTAGGCGGCAGGCCCTTCGCCGCGAGCACTCGTATCTAAGTCTTAGGCGGCATGCCCTTCGCCGCTATCTAGTCGTGTCGTGTCTAGGTTAGGTTAGCTTGTTGTAGCTAGGCGGCATGCCCTTCGCCGCGTAATTGTAGCTAGGCGGCATGCCCCTGCGCCGCGACCTTAAGCCCCAATAAGATTTAGGCCCAAAACAATCCCGACTTCCCCCCCTCCCCCCCTCCCCCCCCCTCTCCAGCCGAGGACTGCCATGCCTGTGGAAATCAGAATCATAGTGGGGCTCGATTCAAAGGGTTTAGAACGGTTTAGGGCTTAAGGGGGATCACGAGTGCGATGTGCTCTGGGGATACTGGCCGGGCTCCATCCCTACGGTAACACTAGGGTTGATGCAAATCGGAGTGTTTGTTTGTAAAGCTCGCAGCTGACACATGATTTGAGCAATGGGCGCATTCAAAGTCCAGCCGTAGTATCACATGATTTGTTGGCAGCAGCTCGTCTCCTGGAGAGCATTTCGCATGCAGGGCCAGATGTCCCAATTTGCTACTATGATTACAGAAACCTGGAAATAAAGTTTCCGGACCCCCTGTGTCATGCCACCAAACCTACTCAAGGCCCCGGAAGCCTAAACCCGAATGCTCGAAACCATTACACCGAAGCTTCGACTACCGTTCTAAGCAAATGCCACAAAGCATATGACCTGGAAGAATTCCCAGACTTCCGGTTTGCAAGCCCCCCCTTGTTTATACAGGCTTGATTGGAGGCTCAGTTGGAAGGCAGGTGTGGCGCCATCGACCCCCCGGTCGCCGAGGCCGACTGTCACGACATTGGGTGCGGCAGGGCGTGCGGCAGTCTCAGCCATGATTGCATGCAGCCCCGGGCTTGACGATTTAATCCCCTGCTAGCTTTAAGAGATTGAAGTATAGCAGAATCGTATGCTGCATGTGGACTGTGTTGATGTGCGGCAGGCCCTTCGCCGCGACCCATACTGTTGACTAAAGTCGTGCAAAATCTCTGTAGTTTATGTACGTAGGCGGCAAGCCTCTTCGCTGCGAGTGGTTGGCCTTTGATCTTTACTTGAAACCCAATAGTAGGAGGCCTTAAACTTAGAACCCTACAAGCTTGTTCTTCGGTTAACATGGGTGCATATAATATATGTGGTATGCTTCATGGTGGGGTGCATATGTTCCCCTATGCCTCTAATTCTCCCTCGACTCCTTACTGGCTCTCGTTAGCAAGGGTTTGAGACGGGATCGTACTACATAGGATCTCCTTTGGGTTGTTTTGCAGGATGTTCAGGATATCCTCGGCGATTCGCAAGTCGAGAATATATTGGGCTTCTGGCTATTAGGTAGATTCCTCAAGATGCCTGAAACTGCTAAAGCCTAGTGAGCGCAGAACTATCGCTGAGGCCTGACAGTGGCGACGTGGCGTGGCCTCGACGTCCGTAGAGCCCGCATCTCAGAGTTAACAGATTTGCGGGCGCGGTGGAAGGGCTTGATTCGACATGACGATTTTGGGGTGAAAGGATCTTCGATGCGGGCTTCTGTTGATTCTAACCGGCTGCTTTCTTGCGGTTTGGGATATTTGGGGTTCTCGGGTTTCAGATCTTCAGGGTTAGTCTTCGGGTTCCAAACACAGTAAATCCTCCCTACCCGACGCGTTCCCGAGCCTTGCCAGAGCCGAAACTATCCGCCCTATGTGGGTGACAAAAATCCCAAAACCCCAACACCCCAAGCCCACAGACCCTCCTCCAACCCCAGATGACATCACCACCGTTCCGCAATGCTTGCTTCAAGACTTGCTAGCCTCTCTTTGTCGAGGGGTCGCGTTTGGAGGCAAAACAGCATCACAGCATCAAAGATTGCTTGAGGGCTCATATGGCCGGGCTGTGAAGTTCAATGCTGAAAGCAGCAGGGTCTGACTAGGATCCATGTGGTGGGGGCCATGGCACCCGCCTGTGATGCCTGGGCCTGGGCCGTTTCCGGGTCCGTACTACCGACCTGCTGCCAAAGCTGCTGGGCGTCCTGGCACTGGAGATGGCAGGACGGTTTTGGAAACCCGAAACCCTTAAAACCCTAACGCGAACGCCCAAAATTTAATACTCGAGGCCTTAATTTCGGACTTTAGTAATCCGGCAGGTCCACCACGTCCGGCACGAGGGCAGCGATGTTGCAAGAGCTCCAAGTGGAGAATCGAAGGCTACGACAAGATATGACTGAAGCAAGACAAGCCTTGGATTCGGCACGGCAGGCGGAGCAAAATGCGACGACAGAGGCCGCCGATCTGCGAAAGCAGGTAAAGGACTGGGCGGAATTATTTCGAGCCCCAGACCCGAAACCCTAAACAGTAAATATGCACATTCTGCTTTATCGCAGAAATTGAATTTATGTAGGCGGACGGGTTCAACCTAGCCAAATCCTAAGCTCTGACCCTTAACACACAACCCTAAAGTACTAAGTATACAGGACCTTCAAGATGACCGAGCAAACCTGCAGCAATCCCACAGCGTGGCGATCGAGAGGCTGTCGACTCGGCTGAGTGAGGTCACGAATGAGCACAAGCAGACCGTTGCAGACTTTCAGCGTGCCTGGCCTTTTCTTGGAAGGCATTGTGCACAAAACCTTAAACCCTAAGCTTTGGGTTTCCTGCAATGCAGGCTTCGTCCTTGCTAGGTAGGAGGGAAAAACCCAAAGCTTCGACTCGCCTTAGTTTTTTAAAATACCTTTCGGATTCACTAGCCAAGGCAGACTCGACACGTCGGACCGACTCTTCAAGGACCTCCCCGAACCCTAAACGCAGTCGGTGGACCCATATGCCTCGCCTGGATTGTCCGAGTGTAAGCGCCTAAATGCAATATCGTAAATCACCCTGCAGGATGCCACCAAGGAGAACGGCAGGCTCAGGAACGAGCGGCAGCACGAGTACGAGCTCAGAGAGAAGCTGCGAAACCAGAAGATCGCGTCCTCTGAATTAAAATAAAACCAAGTTTTGTTTTGGTTAGTAGTAGTATCCGATAGGGGTTCTAATATGCGACTTTTGAGTAGCCCAGGCTCGAGACGGCCAACAAGAGTCTGGCGGAGGAGCTGCAGCGGGTGAAGGATGAGAGGGATAGGGAAAAGGCCGAAAAGGCCGAAAAGGCCGAAAAGGCCAAGGACAAGGCCAAGGAAAAGGCCGAAAAGGCCGAAAAGGCCAAGCGAAAGTGAGCCACTGGTGATCGGGGCACAATGGCGCAATACAGCTAGCGGGCTTGAGGCTTAAGACACATGCAGAAAGCAGCACTGGTGGCACACTGTAGGCCGGCTCGTGCTTCACTCTTCCGGGCGATGCTGTGGTCAAAAAGACCGGTGCCACCACGTTGCCTTCCAAAGAGACCTTAATGGTAAGTCGGCCCCTGACATTCCTGTTCTGCTCAGGTGCTTGCCTGCGTTGAGGGCTGCTGGGCAGGCCTGCGCCCCACAGTTGCTGGAAGGGTTGGGGTTTCTGGGTTCGCAAGAAGTTGGATTTCTGTTGAGGATAATCCGTCCGCCTTCTGGATGTGCATCTGGTGCAGCGTGGCATTCTCCTAAAGTACGTATCTCACTTCATTGTGCGGTGCGGCATTTGCCTTGAAGAAGTGCGCGTGTTGCTCAGGTCGTTGCCTGTGTTGCCGGCTGCTGGGCAAGCCTGCACCCCGAGGCTGGAAGGGTTGGGGTTAATGGGCTCGCAAGTGGTTGGATTTCTGTTGAGGACAACCCGTCCGCCTGCTGGGTATGCATCTGGTTCAGCCTGGAATTTTCCTGAAGTGCGTACTGCATTTCTTTGTGTGGTGCGGCATATTTAGACATGTGCTTCGAAGAAGTTAGAGTGTTTCGAGCAAGCGATCGGCTGGAATACGTTAGCATGGAATAGGACCTCTTTTCTATTTTGTTGGTTTCCAGAGCTCAGGTAATGAGCGATAGGGATAGTTGGGGGCATTCTCATCCAACCGTCAGAAGCGAAATTCCCGGACTGTCCAAAACGCACTAAGAGGTCGGGTCATCATGAGCCGATAACGAAAGGCAACCCGGTGAACCCCGAACACATGGTTCATAAAGTTTAGGGCCTCAGTATAAAAGAAGGGGTTTCAAGTGGACGTGCATCTTACATAAGGGTTCTCCTCATGTTGTTGGTGTTGAAGGGCCGAGATTATGCTTGTACATAAATGAACCAAGGAGGCTGTGGCCCAAGGCTGTACTGAGGTCAGAGCATTCTGTACTGAACAGTAGCCCAGATCGATTTAGTACAGAAAGCCTTGCGTTCAGTATAGAAAGCCTTGCGTTCAGTATAGAAATAACATACTGGGTCTTTGAAGAAGGCATATGTACTGGCGTGTGCTTTTTCTGTACTGGCTGACGTGCTTGTCAGTCTGCAAGCAATCTTTGCAGCCATGGCTATGGAATCATGCGTGGCACGCTGGGGATCTGTTGCAAGGCATTGAATTAATACAATAAGATTTCTAAACAGCTTTGTCAATGGGCTTTGATCCAGTTTTAGAATACTAAGATTGGTTAATGTGTGGCAATTGAAAGAATCCTGCCCAGTACAGGAAACCAATCATTCAGTAGAGCTTTGCATCCACATGTCGCAGTCATCAGAAGTAGCTGCAAAGTGAAAAAACCTGTACTGATTGCGATACTTTCTGTACTGGATCTGGTCGGCGATTGGTTGGTACAGAAGCTCCATAAAACAGTACAGGCAGTATAGGATTAGATACGTAACATACGGCCTTCATATGCCAGTTTGTTTGTGAGGTCGGTCCAGGTAAGCAGTATTACTCAGAGCGATAGATAGGCCTCAGGGAGGTGGTCCGGATTCTTGTCATCTTGGAAAATCCGTGTGCAGAAACCGGTTGTGCTATGAAGAGTGACGTGAGAAGAATCGTCCGCAATCTTGAGGTTCGACAGGCGACCAAACATTGCAATCAGTGCTTGTGGCAAGTGAAGGGGAAGGAGTGGAGATCGCGGTGTGTTTTCCAGGACATAGATGGATGTTACAAGACGTACCTCCAGGAGGCTCCGCCAGGGCAGCCATTTGGATTGGGCTGCATCTTGTGCGCTTCCTATGCGGACTTTATGAAAGTCTCCAACAAGACTCCCTTCCAGGACTTCAGCAAAGGACGTGAGGGAAAGCTGCAGCTAGAGGACCTCCTCCGGCATGGCAACCGGAGCAGGCGAAGCTCGTACCATTGTCGGGTGCATGAGGAGGCGCTACGCTGGAGGCTGAATTCCAACATGCCGCCACAGGCCCAGAAAGAGTCCGAGGAAGACGCCCCAGTGACTGCTGTGCAGTGCTTGCTGAGTTTGGAGACCCTCTGGTCCAGTCTTGGGGCTCAGAGTCTTGAGTACCAGCGCCGCTGCGAGGCACATCACAGGACAGCGGCTACTTCGGATATCTTAAGATTCAGGTTTTGCTAAGCTAGCTTAGGCTTTCTGTCGGCCTGCCTTAATCCGCTGGACAATAAGTCGGGGCATAAAATGCACCGTCATGGAAGCGAAATTCATCCCAGTATGTTTCTACTACCATTCTGAATCCATGCTGTTATTTGGATCATTGGCAAAACCCGAGAGCTGGAGGAGTGATCCATTGAACGTTCCCCTGGCCAGAAGTGATAAGGGCACCCACGGCAGAATCTTGGATGCCTATGCGTCCGTCCTTTTTGACCTGGACCGCAAGGCCATGAAACGGGAGGTGCTTTGCGTTGGTCTCGCGGAGGACAGTTCCGGCTTCTGGCTTCCGCCGCTAATTATAACGTCACGTTGTTTCTGGTGCGTGTCTGGACTTCCAGGGTCGGTGAGCTCCATGCGCCCCTGCCAGGACGTTCGAGGTGGCGTGGAGTTCCTGCGTGCCCGTATTGTCACCAAAGACATGTCTTTTCGATGCTTTGTCCTGGACGTCCACGATATCGAGGGAACCAAGGCCTCATCTCTGAATGAGTGTCGGTTGTGACAAATCTGATCAAGAGTCGTATAGTGAGCGACTTCATAAGCAAAAGGCCCAGACGTGTATCATGTGGTCAATGGCATTGAGGTCGTAATTTAATGATAGCAGTACAAGGACTAAGAACATGGGCACTTTGCTCCTGACTTCATTTCATGATTCACGAGAGGCTTCGCTGGACAAGGCTCGCCAAGTCTGGTCTGCGTTAGAGAAGTTCGCCGCTGGTGACAGAAAGATCTTGGAAGATTTCGAGCATCGCCTCAAGGCGGTGCTGGTTTCTTTATGTTCACATCATGTTCACATCTCTGTTGCCATGCCCGGCTTGGCACTGAAGGTGTTCACGGCAGATGGAGAAAGCGCCGAACCGTTGGCGGCTAGGTTCTGCAAGGACTGAGTTCTGTGCATGTGCACTTGCCGCATTGCGGACTGTGCTGCTCTTGAAATGCTGCGTGCTGCTTCACATGTCCTGGCTTCATCTGAATGTTCGAAAACGTCTGTGCAGTGGCGGGTCCTTGGGACATCCCATGTATGATCATGTATGGTATTTTTCATTGTCATAGGTGAACTTTGGGATAACGGGAGTCATGCTCTATGATCGCATGGATCCTGCTCCATTCACCGATGTTCAGTTGCAGGAGTTGGGGCACTTGAAGGGCTTGAAATCGGTGCTGAGATGTCGGCTCCATGCTGGTCAGGGCTCCCTGGCAAAAGCCATAGCTGCTGATCCCTCCTGCCAAGAGATGGTGCAGACATTGATAACGGCATATTCGCCTGCAAATGACGACAACAATCTGGGGTCTTTGGCACGGGGCTTCCACAACTCGTCAAGGCTTAAGCACTTGTTTCATGAGAATGTGGTGCGGGCCTTCGAATCCTTGGACGGCAAACTGAAGTCCATTGCTTCATTTCGGTACGCCGCACAACGTTTCGATTCAATTTTGGATATCGCACAGCTTGTGGTGCTCCATGTGCGCCCGATTGTAACAGCACTCCTCGAGTTCAGGATCCAGGACCCCAAAAAAAGTAAATGGGTTGAGCATCTTCTGACCTTCTTCACAGGACCAAAGCTCTTGCTATTAGCGTTGCTTTGTGAACTAGCTGCCTCTGCCAGTCGATACCACCATAAGTACGACAACCTTGGGGCACAGCCTGGCCTAGTGACGAAATCTGCCTATTGGTTGCAGAACCTCAGCGAGGAACTGCACAGGTTGTTTTTCTTCACACATGGTGAACCACTGGTTCTCGCTGACCACTATACAGCAGGCTACGTATCGATGATGCGGTCCAGCTACGATCTCCTGATCGAGGAAGGTGTGATAAGTGGGGACCGCTTGGTTTTTTACAGGCCCGGCCTCCGATCGGAGGCAAACTTGCGTAGGGTTCTCGCAAGAGAATTGGGATCTATCCAGAACGTTGCCACGCTCTACTTACAAGCGCTGGAACCTGGCGACGTGAGCGTCGCGGCGTCCCTAAAGCCCTTCGACGTTGACTTCTGGCAGGAGAACTTTAGTGACGATGCCTTGCCAGAGCCCAAGGGCCTAAGGGAAGAAGTATGTGTAGTTGAGAGTGACATCATCTTATGTCAGCACACAGGTCAACGACCTTGAAGCCCTTGGCCGACATTCTCGGTTCGGATGTCTTTGCCTGAGACTAGTTCATCGAAGTCGACTGACACCCTGAGAGTCCAAGGACTATGAAAATCATAGCGATTGTCAAAACATAGTCATTGCCACAAAGACTATAAATTGCATCATGCCAGTTGGATCCTGGAAGATGATTTCTTCACTGGTGTAGATCATCTTCTTAAGAAGATGTGCCTTCAAGTATATACTATATGCGAATGCATCAGCATGAGTCATGTTGTCCTGCGGTACAAGCCATGTCGAAAAACGGATCGGTCGATCAATTGTATGACGGGCACTTGCAAATGTGTTGATCGATCGATTGAATACAGCATGTATATTTGATCGGTGGACCAAGATGTTCGAAAATATATGTATAATTGCCTTCCACGCCAAGCTTTGTCCCTCTGACATATGTATATTTTTTTTAAATTGCGCAATGCCAGGTGCATGCATACATCACACATGATGCTCGCAAATTCCAAAAACAAACAGGAATCCGTTCAGATTCACTAATTAAATTAATATCATTACATACAATTTATATATAGTGGCTAGAAACGAGAAGAGCGGGATCATCGAAACATCGCACCCCACCGGTGGCACCGTCGCACTGCACAGTGTGCACCCTGGTGGTCCGCAACCTAGATCGAACGTGGCCCAGAAGAGGCTGGAAGACGCGCGAAACCACAGCAGGAGCATTGAAACGCAAGCGACTTCGCGGGAAAGCGCAGCAGGAGCGCCGAAATGCAGCGGAATTCGGCAGGAGCGTGGAAACTCAGCCGATGTAGCACCCCACCGGTACCGTGTGCGCCATTGGCAGCCCGCAACCTAAAGCAGGCCCCCAGAAGGCTAGAGGAGGCGGGAAGTCGCGCGAAACCACAGCAGGAGATATATACGTGCAAAATCGCACCCTCAGCGGCACCATCGAAACACCGCGGAATTCGCGCAAAACCGCAGCAGGAGCGTCGAAACTCAGGTCGCACACGAATATTATATATAATATATGCATTTGTCTGTATATTATATATACATATATATGTAATAATTAGGCGGTAAGCCGGCGCACCGCCGCAGAAGGAAGAATATTTTGGCGTAGAAAAGGCAGTCCACCACAAGAGCACGCCAAAAAAACCTGCAAGCAGGAGGACCCTGCAAAACATATATATATATATAGTAGGCATGGCCTAGCACGCAAAAAAAAACACAATAAACCACGCTTGCGTTGCAATAAATAATATATATATATATATATATATATAACGCATGCATGCATGAGCGCAAAACCAGCGAACTCTAGTAGCCTATGTATGTATGTATAATATATATATATATATATGTCATGAAAGTACTATTATAAATAGCATTCTTTTGCGTTTGATTGATTGCGAGTGCACATGTTACACATGCACCCGGCCGGTGGCAAGCACAGCCAATATTAATTAGAAAATGTTTGCAGCGTTATATTGCATTGATGTATTTTAAATATCGATAGGTCTATAGACTCCATATGCAAGATACTTTATAGATTCGATATTGTATATATATAATATATATATATATATATATATATATATATATATAGAAATATATATATATATAGAGAGCGAAATACTTCCTTTAATATACCTATCGCGCATACATACATCACTATATATATATCTTTGTATATATAGAATTACTATATATATATATATAGGCATACTTGTAAACTATGCGTTCTATACAACAACTCTATAAACATAGATCTGAATTAATATATAGATATATATATATATATATGCAATATATACAAATATTGTATATATATGTATGATTGTATATATATATATATAGTAGAAATTATATATAACATTGCATAATTTAAACTGTTTGAATTTGTAATGTATGCGTAATATAAATAACCTACACATATACATGCATATATATATATATATATATATATATATATATAAAGCCACTTCGAACTCACGGATCCGGTTGGTCGATGCACCGCGCGTATGTATATATATATATATATGCGCAAATATTGAAAATCCATCCCCGCACCGGACACGATGATCGGTCTCATTCTAGAAGTTCACAATTTCCATATAGGCACTGTTCTATACATAAGTATGGATAAAAGAGCGCACTTGCCCGTTGCAGTTGCACTGCGTGGTGCAGTGATATCGCCAGAAGAATGCAATGATCCGGTGCAAACTACCACATGCACCTGCGCTGTGGCGCATAATTAATATATATATATATATATATATATATATAGCGAGCCCGATTCGACCGATCTGGCCTGTGCAGCACTGCAGTGGCGTAGCTTGTGTAGTAGTCATTGCATTGCAACGGGCAACGGCAGTCCACCCCATAACAGCACGAATAGCTAACAGCAATCGGAAATCGGAATCCAGGCCGAGTCCTGCATTGTTGCGCAAAAAAAGGTAGTTAGTGCATGCACCTTCGCGTCGATCGATTCTGCATGCAGCACATTCTTCTGCATTTAACAAATTAATATATTAATTAATACTAGATGCTGCTAATATGCGTAAAAAACAGCAGGTTGCGCTTGTGGGCGACTTCGTCGCTAGCTGTGAGATATCTATTATTATGCATGCACACCTCTCGATCCAAAATGGCAACGAGATAGATTGTACGTTGCTTGAGCCAGATTTGAGCCGAACTTAGGGTGCTTAGGGTCCTTTATATGTATGTAGATATATATATATATATATATGCATGCATATATAAGCAGCGATATATATATCGATCGATGCATCTGCAATGCTGCTGCTATATTGTCCATGAAAGTGCGCTAAAATTTGCAGCGCATACAATGTAGTACCCGTCGATCGAGCATAGCGACATCATCTTTGAAAGTGCTTGAGCCAATTTGAGCCATTAGGGTTCTAAGGCATTTATAGTCTATAAACCCAATATATATATATATATATATATATACAAAATACCTTTGCAGAATTACAAATACATATGTATATATAAATATGGATATATGTATATATGGATATATATATATATATATATATGTGTGTGTGTGTGTCTGTTTTTCATTATATATATACACACAAGGAATGAATGAACAAATTAACATTTATTTACTTAGAAAATAATTTCATGAAACTGGCACTGTACATATATAACTATGAATAGTATGTATATATATATATGTGTATATACATATCTACCAGTAGATATTATGTATATAGCAGTATATAGATACTATACGGTATGATCTATCGAATAATATGTATATGTCTATCGATCTATATAGATCGATCATACACATGCATGCGATTTCTGATCCCTAATATAATTCATACTTATATATACAGTTGCACTCGAGGACGTTTACATATTTATGTATACGCATATGCATACCTATACAAAAAAGAATATAGATAAACATATTTGTGTACAGTCAATCGATCAATATCCACATATATACATACACATGTGCATGTGCAGTCGCATGTACAAACATACATATATATATATATATACACATACATACATGTGTGTGCACACAGCACAGCAAATGCTGCGCTGATTTGATTCGATCGAATTCGCTTTTTTGCTTTCCACCAATCAGCGTCGACCCGCAGCACTGGCATTCAGCCTGGGCTGCAAACATGTGAATATGTACACATAGTATTGTGTATACGACTTGTATAAACATCATCTCAATACTGTATATACATATACAGACATACATATCAGGCATGTGCGTCGATCGGCACAGGGTTATGACACGACGCATCATCAACTACAGTACATACAGCTGCACAGCATCGGATTCGATGGTTATGAAGACCTCTGTGCATGCATCTGTATGTGCATATATATACACATACATGTAGACATGTGTTATGTGGCAATATATATATATATATATGTGTATATATATGAGGATTAAGCCAAGCTGCGCCTTGATGCGATGCTTCATGCTCCGCAGCCTTCCGTAGGCAGAAAATGAAACACTATATAATGGTGCATGTATCTAACAAGTTAATGACGAAATAAATAAATGTGTACAGGTGCACATGCATCGACACACATGGCACAGTCATGCACACATATATGGCACACATGTTGGTGGCAGGGGACTACATTTAATGTGGCTTGCACACATGCAAAGCTCTGGGCCTTAGCCTGGACATCCTCAATGCCCATCGCGGCTGCGAATCCGCCGGAGCGCGAATGTAGATTGCTTAGATGCACGAGCAGGATGCATTTCTCGCTCGCTTACACCATTAGCTGGTAAGTTGTGCAGCTTACACATATGCATACACATGCATGTCTTGCACAACACATACACAAAATCTGTAACACCCAAGGCTGAAATCGCCATCTCTCATTTTTGAGAATCACACCCAATTTAAGGAGAACCTTTGGGTCCTGCATGCCACCTGTAGCCCTTGGAAATGAAAGCAGAAACCATAATGCTTTCCCAGTGATGGAGCAAAGTCCTGGGGATGTAGGGTTCAGGGTCTCATGTCCAGCAATTCAAAGCACAGTATGCCGGTTGCTACACAAAGTTCAGCTACAAAATCGCATCAATTGATGGGTGGATCGACTCTTCCAAAGATCGGTGTGTTTATCGACCTCTGACTCACCCATCGAACTAGCGACCATGCTTTTGGGCAGGCCAGTACAGGTTTTGGGGCGAGGTTTGCACGAGCCTGGGACATCAAAGCATGTCGCTATTAATTAGGAGCAGGACCAAGCAGGCATATTCGTGTATACATGTAACATGATGACCTGTATTAGGTAATCTCATATTCACTGTGCTGCCAGGCCCCCTGATCTCCAAAAGGCGTTTTTACAGCCCTATTGTCTATTGTTATGAAATCTTCAGACACATTATACATTATCCCTCCGCTCCCGGTTACGATTCCAAAGACCACCTCGAATAACAGTGATGCCCTCACAAAGGAAAAACTAGATGCAAAAGTTGTATCAAGGCTCCCTTGAGCCATGACATCATCGATTCATCAATGAAGCAGTGTTCGAAGCG